AGCGTCTGCCTTCGGCTCAGGTCATGATCCCAGGGTCCTGGGATCGAGCCCCACATCGAGCTTCTTGCTCAGCAGGTTGCCTGCCTCTCCCTCTGACACTCCCCCTACTTGCGCGCTCGCTCTCTCTCTCAAATAAATAAGTAAAATCTATTAAAAAAAAATAGAATGGAATGTTCTGAATATATGTTAAAACCATCTGGTCAAATGTGTCATTCAAAGGCACAGTTTTCTGTTGATTTTGTTTGGATGATCTATCCATTGTTGTAACTGGATGTTAAAGTCCCTGCTATTTTGTATTATTATCAATTACTTCATGTTTGTCATCAACTGCTTTATGTATTTGAGTGCTCCCATATTGGGTGTATAAATATTTACAATTGTTTTATCTTCTTTTTTTAAAGATTTTATTTATTAGAGAGAGAGAGGGATCATGAGCAGGGGGAGGGGCAGAGGGAGAAGCAGACTCCCCGCTGAGTAGGGAGCCCGATGCGGGGCTCGATCCCAAGACCCCGGGATCATGACCTGAGCCGAAGGCAGACGCTTAACCTACTGGGCCACCCAGGTGCCCCTACAGCCTTTATTTTAAAGTCTATTTTGTCCCATATAAGCATTGGTGTCCTGGCTTTATTTTCATGTGTTTGCATAATAAATGCTTCTCTATCCCTTTACTTTCAGTCTGCAGGTGTCTTTAGATCTGAAATGAGTTTCTTGTGTAGGCAGCATATAGATGGGTTTGTTTTGTTTTGTATCAATTCCATCACCCTAGGACTTTTGATTGGAGCATTTAGTAAATTTACATTCAAAGTCTTTTTTTTAAAGACTTTATTCATTTGAGAGAGAGAGAGACAGAGCAAAAGCAGGGGGAGAGGGAAAAGCAGAGTTCCTGCTGAGCTGGGAGCCCAACATGGAATGCGGGGCTCGATCCCAGGACCTGGAGATCATGACCTGAGCCAAAGGCAGAGGCTTAACCATCTGAGCCACCCAGGCGCCCCATTCAATGTAATTATTATTATTATTTTTAAAGATTTTATTTATTTATTTGAGACAGAGAGAATGAGAGACAGAGAGCATGAGAGGGAGGAGGGTCAGAGGGAGAAGCAGACTCCCTGCCAAGCAGGGAGCCCGATGCGGGACTCGATCCCGGGACTCCAGGATCATGACCTGAGCCGAAGGCAGTCGCTTAACCAACTGAGCCACCCAGGTGCCCCTCAATGTAATTATTGATAGGGATGTATATATTACCATTTTGTTACTTCTGTTACAGTTGTTTTTGTAGTTTTTCTCTGTTCCTTTTTTCCTTGGCGCTCTTCTCTCATGACTAGTTGGCTTTCTTTAGTGACATATTTGGATACCATTCCCTTCAATTTTTGCCCTTCTATAACTGGTTTTTGATTTGTGGTTTACCATTAGGTTTGTACATAACATTTTCTGCATACAGCAGTCTATATTAAGTTGATGGTTGTTTAAGATGAACCCGTTCTTTACTCCCCCCAACCTCATCATTTAGGTATATGGTGTCCTGCTTGACATCCTTTTATTTTCTGATTCGCTTGCCTGATTTTTATAAACACTTATTTTTACTGGTTTTGAGCTTTTCTTAATCTTACTTACAGTATTTTCTGTCCACTCAAAAAGTCCTCTTTAACACTTCTTGTAGGGCTGGTTTAGTGCTCATGAATTCCTTTAACTTTTGTTTTCTGGGAAGCTCTTTATCTGTCCTTTTATTCTGAATGATAGCCTTGCTGGATAGAGTATTCCTGGCTGCAGATTTTTTCCTTTCAACACTTGAATAGATCACGCCACTCCCTTCTGGCCTGTAATGTTTCTGCTGAAAGCTCAGCTGATAACCTTATGGGGTTTCCCTTGTATGTAACTTTTTTTTTTTCTCTCTTGATGCTTTAAAAAATTCTCTTTATCACTACTTTTTGCCATTTTGATTACTGTGTGTCTTGGTGTGGACACCTCCTCCGGTTGAGTTTGTTCGAGGATCTCTGTACCTCCTGAATCAGGATTTCTTTTTCCTTCCTTCCTTCCGTTTCTTCAGCTGTTATTTCCTCAAATAAATATTCTGCCCCCTTTTCTCTCTCTTCTCATTCTGGGATCCCTATAATGCATTTGTTATATGCTTGATCATGTTGCCAAGTTCTCTAAATCTAGTCTCATTTTGCATATTTTCCCCCTCTTATCTGGTGAACGTGATTACTTTCCATTACTCTGTCCTCCAGGTCACTGATCCATTCTCTGAGCCCTCTAGCCTACTATTTATTCTATTTAGTGTGTGTGTATGTATGTCATTTATTGTGTTCCTCATCTCTGATTGGTCCTTTTTTATCTCTTTGGTAAGGGTCTCACTGATGTCCTCCGACTCTTTTCAAGTAGTATCATTTTGGCTGTTACTTTTAAATTATCAGGTATATCACTTAACTGTTTTCCTTAGGTCTCTTGCTGTGATTTTTGTCCTGTTCTTTCTTTCATTTGGAACATATTTACCTGTCTCCTTATTTTGTCTAACTCTCTGTGTCTGTTTCTGTGTGTTAGGAAGGTCAGCTATGTCTCCTGCTCTTAAAAGTGGTGGCCTTCTGAAGAGGTCCTGTAGCGCCGTGTGTGTCCCCTGTTCACCAGGACCTGGTGCCTCATGGGGTGTCTCGTCTCCTCTGTGTTGCGTACAGCGTCCTGTTGTGGCTGAGCCGCTTTTTCCTTCAGGCCCGTCGTCTGCAATGGCTCTCTCTGCCTGTTTGGTCCCTGTGCTGTTGGAGGGCCAGTCTGGGGCCACGTGGGCTTGAGCTGAGTCACACCAGGCATTTGTGAGATGCAGCAGCACCAGACCAGAGTGCTTTTCCTGTGTTGTCCCCTGAGCAGCTTTTGTTGGTGGGCAGGGCCTGTAATCAGACCGGCTGTCTGTCCCCAGTCCCCTGCTGGGGCGCAGCCTGACTGGTGTGTGGAGTCCTCATTCCCTCTCCCGGGGCAGGAGTCTCTTTGAAGGCCCTGTTGGGGCTGCTTGCACACCGCCATGCTTAGGGTCCCACCTTGAATGGGCTCCAGCGAGACTGTATTGGAGGGGTAGATCTGCATTGTGCGTGGGGGTGGGCTATGCACTGTTAGCAAGGGGTGGTGCTGGCGCTCTGCAAGAGGAGACCAGCTGCTGCAGGGAGCGAGGCTAGCCTGGCTGGAGGAGCGGAGCTGCCGAAGCTCAGGGTGCAGGGAAGTGGGGGTAGCAAGGTTTGCGTGACTGTCCTCTGCAGGAGGGGACCCACGGTGCTGGACCGAGGCAAGCAGGGGCTGCAGGGGCGGGGTGGCAAGGTAGGTGGGAGTGTTGTGGGGTCCCCACATGCTGGGGGACAGGGGAGGGAAATGGCGCCTGCCAACCATCTCTGCGCCTGGGGCCATGCTCTGAGGGGTAAACAGCGCTCCCTCCCTATGGTCCAGGGTTTCTTCAGCTGCTGCCTCTGTGTTGTAGCTCTGCGGGCTGTCTGTCCCACTGTTGCCGGAGCTGGGGACTCCGTTTCCTTCGGCCCTCCCAGAACTGGGCTGCTGCTTTTTCAAATTGCAGGTTTTAAGTCCTGCTGGTTGTAAGAACTCCTAAAATTCAGCCCCTCTGGTTTTCAAAGCCCAGTGTTTCGGGGATTTGCCTTCCCCATGCAGCTCCTGGTTAGTGTCCCCCGCCCCCCCCACCCATGGACAGCCGCCAGGCCCGGGGAGCTTCCTGCCACGTCTCCGCCCTTCCTGGCCTCTTCCATGGGGCCTCTTCTCTGCCTCGAGTTGTGGAGTTGGTTCTGGTCGTGTTCTGCCTTATTCACACGGATGTCATCTAGCTGTATGTGGGGACGAGGCGAGCTCAGGGTCCTCCCACCAACTCTGCCATTCCTAAGTGCTTTAAATGTTACTGATTCTGGGGGTGAGATTTCTTTCTAGAATGTTTACCTAGAATCCTAGTTCCTGGTATCTCCGAGCCGATTTGTCTAGTAAAGAGGTGGTTGAAGGTGAGCGCCACCCCCCCCCCCCAGGTGAGAGGAAACGCATCACTGACAGGGGCTTTGGCTCTGTGGGGACACTGCCTTTCTCACATCAAGTGGGATTTGCTGCCCTCCCCTCCCCCCAGAGCCACCTTCTGGGAGGAGCTCACTGGTGATGAGACCCGCGTGAGAGTCCCCAGGTTGTCCTTTATGCATGTGATTCGTGCTCCTCCAGGCCCTCGGGCACCTGCAGCTCTGACGGCAGGATGGCTACTCTCAGGAGTAGGTACGGTGTGGGGGGGCGGAACCCTGGGGTCTGCAGGTGAGCCCAGGGACAGGAAGCCTTGTCCAGGGACAGAGTTGCTGTTGGGGTGAAGGGCCTGTTTTGTTGTGTCATCCCGTGGCTCCTGTTTGTCTACTGGAATGTTCCCTGTCTCCCCACCCCTTTCTGCCGCTGCTCGGGAGAACTATTTTTAGGGGGCTGAGAACAGGCCGCTCCCTCAGGCAGGCTCTTTGCTGGCAGTCAGGCGGTTAGGAGGGTCGCAGGTCCCCACACCCGGTCCCTGGCCCGCCGCAGACAGCCCCATGACACGGCACCACGCGCGGTCTCTGTGCCCTCGTTCTCGGTCTGCCCAGAACAGGAGCTGCCTTAGAGCTCGTTACCAGGGCTGGGAAGTGCTCTGAGGAATAACAGCTTCAGACACCCCAAGGGTGGACCTAGGGTTCTAGGCTTTGTCCGGTTCTGTGAACGTTCACCGGCCCACATTTGGGAGGGGAGACAGACCGCAAACGGCTAACGGGGACAAGAGATGACCAGGGACATCCCAGAAGCACAGAGAGGAGCGGAGGGGACCCCGGAGGGCTCCTGGGCACACCGTGTGCTGGGGCGTCCCGTCTGGGGGCAGTGGGGCGGGGCAGGGGGGCAGGGGGATGCGGTGGGGCGGGTCTCCGCGGGAGCACCTGCCAGGGGCTGCAGGTGGAGGATGGAGCAGGTGGGGGTTCCAGGGGAAGGCCACGTGTTCACGCCTCTGCCCCCGCCCCCGCCAGGTGCACCTGATGAAGCCAGATGCGGTCCCCAAGGCGTGCTGCGCCCCCACCAAGCTGAGCGCCACCTCCGTGCTCTACTACGACAGCAGCAACAACGTCATCCTGCGCAAGCACCGCAACATGGTGGTCAGGGCCTGCGGCTGCCACTGAGGCCCTGCCCCCGCCGCTGCTCCCCCCCACCAACCCCGGGTCAGGCCCCTCTCCAGAGGCAGGAAACCCTGCAATGCCGGCATTGCTCAGGTGGGGTGGCAGGGAGGGCCTGCCCCAGCCTGCCAGGGTCTCCCTGGCCCCTCCGCCCTTCCCCTGGGGGGTGGTAGACCGGCTGGCCCGACACACACGGACTGCACTGGGTTCCGTTCAGAAGTCCTGCCGTGGGACGTGTGCTTGGCCCCCTCCAGGCCAACGTGAGGGCCATCTGGAGCGTGAGGCCGGCTGGCGGGGCTCCGAGCGGGGAGGAGGGGTCCTCCTCTTTCCAGGGCACGCACTCACCTTCGGGACCGTGTATTCCTGGGCTCCGACCTTGGCCCACTAGCAGTTAGCACATTAGAAACAGAACAAGCCGGATGGGCCTCATACCAAGACGGAAGCCTGCAGGGATGTTTTATGGCATGTGTCTTCCCCTCCTGGGGGAAGAGCTCGACCACCCCACCCAGGAGCAGATAACCTTGGGGGCGGGCAGTTCCCTCCAGCTTTTCCATGTGAGGCTCCGCAGCACCTCGCCCACGGCCAACATCAGTAAGCAGCCCGGGTGGATTTTCCACTGAACCCGGACAGGCCTCAGAACCCTCGGCACATGACTCCAGACCCCCCGCAGCAACCATTTCACCCACAGACGGGGCCTGGGGCCAGGGTGGGGACTGTCCGATAGAACCCAGGGCTTAAGGACAGGCTGTTCTCCAGTCTGCACCACCCTGTGTGCCCGGGAGTGAGACCTGTGAGCCTGAGACAAGGTCCCCGTCCCAGGGGAGTGACAGGGGATAATCAGGCCGGTCCTGGGTGGGAGGGTCCCGGAAACCGCCACAGGCCGTTGGAGCATTTGATTTCTGACTCACTAAGCCTGTAAGTTACCTGCTGGCACAGACGGAGTCCCGCTGCCCAAACCCTGAAATACTGTGTCGTTCAAAGCAGCTTGGGGGCCCCCTGCCGTGTGCCCCAGGATGCGCCCCTCAGCAGTCACTCGGCACCCCGAGGAGGGGCCCCGGGACAGCAGGTGGGACAGTGGGTGTGGACGCTGGGGCCCTGCTGCAGGACAGCGGCGCCTCCGCAGGGACCGGGAAGGGACTCTGGAGCGAGCGCAGAGGGAGAGACCCTCCCCGGGTACACGGAGGGTGCGCGCAGGCTGTCTGCAAGGTGGAGAGTTCCCTAGTAGCCGGGGGCTTTGACCTCAGGCTGGCAGGGATTGGAGCACAAAGTGGCTGGAGTGTCAGGAGACCTGTATTCTGGTTCCAACTCGGCCACTGACCTGTTTGCTGTCTGGACAAGGCCCCTTCCTGATTGAAGCTTCAGTGATGTGGGACATTCCTCCCTCGGCCTGAAGCCCTGACCCTCCCCTCTCTGCCACAGCCCAGACACAGCCTGAGCCCAGCTGCCGCAGGACACGAAACCTGCCATCTGGGGACCTTAGTTAATGGCTTTGTCCTCCCAGCATCACGGGTAGTGGAGGTTTGGAAACTTTGGACAAATGTCAGTATTAGGTCTCTTCAACGCCTAGCACATAACGTGGCATGCTTTGGAAAGTTTGTAAAATGTTTTAAAGGTGCAGACCGCCTTGCCCATTGGGTGTGCCGAACAGGTACATATCGTGATCTGAATCCCTTTGTGTGCAATCAAGTCGAAAGTAGAGTGTTCACGGCCTTTCTGACAGACTTCTAGAACCTCCAGCCATCCAGGCAGCCACCAAATGGAAACCAAACAGAAAAGGCCTTGGAGAAAAACGATGGATGCACAGTCAATGAAGGGGCAGCCATCTTGTTTCCATGGTTGCCCGGCAGCCCAGGCTCCCTTCAAGGCTGCACATTGGAAGCCTAAGTAAGGGTGGTCAGCTCGGGCCCGCTGACAGCAAAGGAAATGCTGCCAGGAAGAGAGGCCACGGAGGAACAGCCAAGTTTGGGGCCCTTAGCGTGGGGGGGCTGCTCTGTGTGCCGCATCTCCACTGTCCCGGCACAGCCCTGGGCCCGACGCCAGCCCATCAGGCAAATCCCCATCCTTGTGTCTCTCTGTAGGGACGTAGGTAACATGCTCCAAGAAGTGCCCAGAGAGGCACAGGAAAGGGGGCTGTGAATAGGACAGGGTGGGTTTTGGAGCCAGGAGACCTGGCGTGAAATCCTGGCTCTGCCTCTTGTTAAACTGACCACATTTTGTCACATCTGAGTGAGAGGTTTTCTTCCTCTGAATGGGGTATTGGTTCTGTCCTTGCAAGGCCATCGTGGGATCAGGTGCATCCTCGAAAGCCCTTGGCACTGCGTCTGCACGGTGCCGAACGAATAGCATCTACCAGTGGTCTCAGTTTAAGTGAACTGGCGCAGCTGTGCCCCCCCATTGGCCTTCCCGTTAACACCTGCTCCTCCCAGAGCATGCCCAGGAGGTGCTGCTGTGTTTACTTTAAGGCTGCATTTTTCCTAAAAAATCTAAATGTGGTCCTCTCTCAGGAGGAGGTGGGGACTTACACAATCCCCTGCCTGTGAAAGTCCCGGCCTGCAGGGACCGACAGGGACTCAGAGTGAGCCATGCGGCCGGGTACGTCTGCTGAGGAACCCCTCCCCAAGTCCAGCACCCACCTGCGACCTCCAGGAAGCTGAAGGGGGAGCTTTCCAGAATTTCTCTTCTTACTGGGAAGCCTTGAGCAAACATTTGGCCCTTTAAAAAAAAAAAAAAGTTTTTCCTCACTGAAGAAAATATTACCTGTGCACCAGGGAAATTTTTGAAAATAAAAAGAATACAAATACACATAATTCCAGCACACAGAGCTAAGCACTGTTAATCCCTTCCAGTCTTTTTCCTTGACACACATGTCTTTTTATATAGAATATATGGCTATTTTACAAAGTTAGGATCATACTCTATGCACTACTTGATCTGATTTACTCAATCTTTGGTATATTTAGAAAATCTGTTATTAAATCTTCTTTGAAAACCTAACTTGCAGCATTCCATCCCTTGACCTCTGCCCCAGTTCTGTCACCATTCCTTCTGCAGAGGTGGGTGTGGGGCCCCCACGACCCTACTCTTGGGAGCCCGGGCCCGGCCCTGGGGGCTCAGGTCACCCACCGGGAGTCTCGGGATCTGGCATTTCACCTCTGAGGCGCGGGTCACCACCTGTGGTGGCAGGGGGGGCGGGTCCCGGGTGTGGACCCAGGTGATAAACTCTGGGGAAGCCCTTGTACAGCACAGAGTGACCCACTGCCGCCCTCTGGTTCCTTATCCGCCGGCTTCCCAGCCAGCCTGCTAGTCCTGCCTTCGCAGGGCCATCGGGGAAGCACAGCACGGGCCCCCTCCCTCCCCTCGTTTCACGGGGCTGTGACCAGTCCTCCCTCCGGGGGCTTCAGGCCAGCCCGTTCGTCCTCCCGGGAGCCAGCCTTACCGGGGACTTGGCGTACATCTCTTCTCGCAACCTCACGCCCACCCCGCGCAGCTGGCCTTTTCCCAGTCTCAGTGCTGCCTGTCCTGCCAGCCAGGGCTGAGCAGCGGTGAGAGGGCTGCCGGGGCGGGGAGCGACGGTCCCTGCTGGGAATACAGCAGGTCGCGGTCCCGGCCACAGTGGTGGGCCCCAGCCGGCCCGAGGGGACACGGGGGCCCAGCCGGCCCGAGGGGGGACGGAGCCCAGCTGAAGGCAGAGACCAAGGTTGGCCGAGGCTGCTAGAGCTGTGCTGGGGTCCCAGGCCAGCAGGCTTCTCCCCTCCCCTCCAGGCTCAACCTGACTTCAACCCAAAATGAGGACCAGCCTTGCCCAGTGGTTTCTGAGTGTCGAGCCTTGATCTAGAGCCCCTGGCCGGCAGCAGGGGAGCGAGCAGGTGGCAGCCCTGGACGTTGTTTCTGGTGACTGATGGGACACGCTGCGAGGTGGCCCGGCTGGCCAAACACCGGTATTGTAGGGTGAGAGCAGCAAGGCTACCAGCTGTGGCACCAGACTGACTGCCACTGGGTCTGGAGTCCGGGGCGGGGGCGGGGGCGGGGGCGGGGGGCGGCATCTCTGGCGGGCTCCTCCAGTCTCCCCAGCGCCGAGCCCAGTGCCTGGCGGGAGGACCCCGGGCGCTCTGCGTACTACAGTGCCGAGCATCGGGTCAGTGGCTGGACAACGGGTGACTGGGTGCCCATGAGACGCACGACCGGGCGTGAGGGCACGAGTGGAGCCTGGCTCAGCTGACTCACTGGCCCGATAGCAGGGGTAGCAGGGGAGAGGAGGACAGAGGCACTTCGCGCCAGCTCTGAGCTCGGCTGCCCTGCAGCAGTCTGACAAGGGGAGCTCTCAGGGACTCGGCCCGGGTGGGAGGGGAAGAGCAGGGGCGGGTGCTCTGGTCTGTCAGGGAGATGGTCCAGTCACAGCCGCAACCCTGCAAGCACCTGGGACCGGGCTGGCAGCAGCAGCACAAGCGCTAGGACTGACTTTATCAGAAGCGATGCCCTCAGAGGGACGTTTGTGCAGACTGTTGACAGCTCTTCAAGCAGGCAGCTCCGACTCCAGGACAATACCATGTGGATGCCTCAGTCTCTCACCCAAGGGACAGTCAATGAAATGGTGAGCAGAGCTGTTTAAATCATTTTAGACTGGTATATGCTTTCATTCATTCAACAAATACTTATTGTCTGCTTTGTAACCAGGCTCCTGTTAAGCCCTGGGGACACTGGTCCCAGCCCTGGTGTAGCTCGCAGTTTAGCCACTCAAAAGTAACTGTGGATTCATCTCAGGAATGCAAGGCTGGTTTAACATCCAAAAAGCAATATAATATAGCACATTAACAGAACAGAGTACAAAAAACACATGATCACCTCAACGGACAAGGAAAAGGCACCCTGCAAAACCCAACACCTTTTCATGATAAACACTCAACAAACTAGGAATAGAAGGGAACTTCCTCAGTCTGACGAAGAGCACCTACAAAAAAAAACCCACATGGTGAAGACTAGATATTTTCCCCCTAAGATCAGGAATAAGACCAAGATGTCTACCCTCACCACTTCTATTCAACATTGTACTAGAGGGTCTAGTCAGGGGAAATTGCAAAAAAAAATGAAGTGAAAATTGGAGACAACATGAACTTATACAGAAAATCCTAAGGCATCCACTAGAAAACTATTAGGACTAATAAATTCAGCAAGGTTGCAGAATACAAGATCAATATACAAAAATCAATTTATTTCTATACTTTAGCAATGAACAATCTGAAAATGAAATCAAGAAAACAATTCCAAGGGCGCCTGGGTGGCTCAGTCAGTTAAGTGTCTGCCTTTGGCTCAGGTCATGATCCCAGGGTCCTGGGATCGAGCCCCACATGTCAGGCTTCCTATTCAGTGGGGAGCCTGATTCTCCCTCTCCCTCTGCCACTCCCCTTGCTTGTGGTTTCTATCTCGCTGTCAAATATTCAAAAAAAAAAACAAAACAATTCCATTTACAGTAACATCAAAAGAATACCTAGAAATAAATTCAATGGAAGTATAAGCTTATGTTCTGGTAGCTATAAAATATTCCTGAAATATATTAAAGAAGATCTAAACAAATGGAAAGACACCCATGTTCGTGGATTGGAAAACTTAATACTGTTAATACGGCAACACTTCCCAAACTGATTTCCAGATTCAGCACAACCTCTATCAAAATCCCAGCTGACTTTTTTTGCAGAAATTGACAAGTTATTCCCAAAATTCATATGGAAAAGCTAGAGACCTAGAACAGCCAAAACAACCTGGAAAAAAGAACAAAACTGGAGGACTCACACCTGTCAAATTCAAAATGTACTACGGAGCTACAGAATACATGACAGAGTGGAACTGGCATAGGACAGATCTATAGATCGATGAAACAGAATAAAAGGCCAGAAATAAAACCCTTACATCTATAGTCAATTGATTTTCAACAGGGATGCCAAGACATTTAAACAGGAAAAGAACAGCCTTTTCAACAAATGATGCTGGGACAACTGGACATCCACGTGCAAAAGAAGGAAATTAGACCTCTTTTTCTCACACTATACACAAAATTTAACTCAAAATCGATCAAAACCCTAAATGTAAGAGCTAAGCCATAAACCTCTTAAAAGAAAATATAGGAGTAAATCTTCGTAACCTTAGGTTAGGCAAAACCTTCTTAGTTACGATGTCAAAAATATACTGATGGGGCGCCTGGGCGGCTCAGATGGTTAAGCATCTGCCTTCGGCTCAGGTCATGATCCCAGGGTCCTGAGATCGAGGACCGCATCAGGCTCCCTGCTTGAAAGGAGGCCTGCTTCTTCTTCTCCCTCTGCTGCTCCCCTTGCTTGTGCTCTTTCGCTCTGTCAAATAAATAAATAAAATCTTAAGAAATATATATATATACTGATGGAACTAAAAATAAATTAGACTTCAACAGAATTAAAACCTTTTGTGCTTCAAAGTACACCATAAAGAAAGTAAAAAGACAACCCTTGCAAATCATGTATCTGATAAGAGATCTATACCTAGAATATTGAAAGAACTCTTGCAATTCACTAATAAAAAAATAAATAACCCAATTAAAAAATGGGCAAAGGATCTGAATGGACATTTTCTCAAAATATACAAATGGTCAATAAATGCATGAAAAGATACTCAATATCATTAGCCATCAGGGAAATGCAAATCAAAACCACAATGAGTGGAGCACCTGGGTGGCTCGGTAGGTTGGGTATCCAACTCTTGATTTTGGCCATAACCTGGAGGTCGTGGGATCGAGCACTGCATCAGCACAGTGCAGAGCCTGCCTGGGGTTCTCGCTCTCCCTCTCCCTTTGCCCCTCGTACTCTCTCAAAAAACAGAACAAAGCAAACAAAAATAAAACCACAATGAGACAGCACTTCATACCACTCAGATAATATAAAGAGAATATAAAAGAGCTGGTAACCAGGGATGGCAGGGATATACAGAGAAACCGGAACCCTCACAGGTTGCTGATGGGAATACAAAATGGCGCAGGCACTTTGGAAAAGTCTGGCACTTCCTCAAAATTAAAAAATGGTTATCATATGCCCCAGCATATCTACCCAGGAAAAATGAAAATATATGTCCACACAAAAACTTATACATGAATGTTCAGAGCAGCATTATTCATAATACCCAAAAAGTATAAACAACACAAATGTCCATCAACTTATGAATGGATAAACAAATTGTGGTATATCCATACACTGATTATTCATTGGCAATAAAAAAGAATTAAGTACTGATACATGCTATATCATAGATGAACTTTTTTGAAAACATTATGCTAAGTGGAAGCCAGCCACAAAAGGCCACATATTGCGTAATTCTATTTATATGACATGTCCAGAATAGGCAAAACCAGGAAGAGAGAAAGTAGATTAGTGTTTGCCTAGGGCTGGGGGACAAGATGGGGGTGCTAAAGGGTGCGACGTTTCCTTTTGGAGAAAAATGTTCTAAAATTATTGTGGTAATGACTGCGTAACTATGAGTACGGTAAAAACCACTGAGAGGTATACTTTAGATGGGTGAACGGAATGGTATGTGAATTGTATCCCAATGAAGCTGTTTAAAAAATAAAAATAAATAAAAAATAAATCATGTTACAGAACAGCAGAGCCTAGTGGCACAGACATTTGCTCAGCAAATGGAAGCAGAAGACACAGTCACCTAAGTGTGTGTGTGTGTGTGTGTCTCCATCCCTCTCTCTCTCTCACACACACACAAACACATACACATAGGTAACATACCATGGAAGGCTTTTGGAGGAAGTAATACCCGAGTTTAAAAAGCCCATGTTTGGCGGGGGCTGAGAGGAGTGTAGTACAAGGAGCTGTAAGCTCGTCTGTGTTAACGAGAAAGCCCACTTTCCACGGCTGGGCCTCAAGACTGTGTGCTCCCTTTGGATGGAGACCATGGGAGAGTGGAATGAGTCCCACTCTCAGTGTTGGAGGTGATCAGCGTGCCTGACACGTAAAAAATCAGCCCTGTGAACCTCAGCTTTAAATATTCAAATATTTATTTACACTGTTTAGAATACAGTAGTGATCAAGAAAGACTGCGTCCTGCCCTCATGAGGCTAATATTAAATATATGAGGAAAAACGAAGCTCACTAAAAAGAAGAGATGACAGGAATGCCCATTCTAGAGAGACAGGTCAGGGCAGGCCTCTCGCACAAGGTGCGTGGCACCTGAAGGAAGTGAGGGGTGAACCCTGTAGATGCTGAAGGAAGAATGTTCCAGAAGAGGAGGTGGGATGACCAAGGCCCTGAGGGGACGTGAGCTATGACATGAACAGCAAGCCTGCCATGGGGACCAAAGGCAGAGCAGCACATTCGGGGAGCTTGGGGCGGTGCCGGGCCTCAGGCCAGAGGGTCCTGCTGGATCCCACATGCACGATGCGGCCCCAGGAGGGCTCTTAGCAGGAAAAGGGCGTGAATGGGTTTGTGTTTGGAAAGGATGGCTCTCTGACTACCTTGCAGATTAGCCCCAGAAGGGAAGAGGCGGGAGTGGAAACCGGGAGACAAGCGTGAGGACTTGGTGCTAGTGGAGGAAGGGTAAAGAACAAGTGGACCAAAAAGTGACTTGAAGACCCGTGGGTCTGATGTGTGTGACGGAGGAGAGGGGTCGAGGATGAGCTTAAGCTGAGCAGGCAGCTAGGTGGGTGGTGGCGGCACTGAGAGACAAGGAAGAGGGGAGGAAGGGTCTGGGGGGAAAGAGCAAGAGAGCCTGTGAGCTCTGAGACGCCCGTGGGACGTCCAAGGGAAGGCGACAGGGAAAGACCAGCATGGAGGCTGACACGTGGGCAGGATTCACCCACAGATGTGACTGGAAGCCCTGGGATGGGAAGGGACTGGCTAGGGTGCTGGTTCTAAACAGGGGAAGACTGCCCCCTCGAGGCTACTTGGAAACTGCAAGGTCTGTTTTCAGTTGTCAGTAATCCTGGGGGTGCTATAGCATTAGCAGGAAGGGAGCAAGGAATCTAGATGTCCTGCAATGTCCCACGTAAGGAAGAATTCTTCTTCTCCTTCTTCTTCCCTTTTTTTTTTTTTAAAGTAGGCTCCCTGCCCAGTGTGGAGCCCAACATGGGACCTGAACTCATGACCCTGAGATCAGGACCTGAGCGGAGATCAAGAGTTGGACACTTAACTGACTGAGCCACCCAGGCGCCCTAAGGAAGAATTATTCTTAATCCTCTGACTTTAAAATGCTCTGAGAAACATTCATGTAGCAGAGAAAAATCTGTTCATCATGATCGGAGCTGAGAACCTAACTCCATTTTACATATAAATCCAAAGACTTATAGGGGCTCCTGGGTGGCTCAGCTGGTTAAGCGGCTAACTCTTGGTTTTGGCTCAGGTCATGATCTCAGAGTCCTGGGATCAAGCTCTGCATTGGGCTCCACACTCAGCGGGGAGCCTGCTTAAGATTCTCTCTCCCTCTCTGTATGCCCCGCCCTTCCCCCCACACCCCTGCTCTCTCTAAAATAATTTTTTTTTAAGATTTTATTTATCCATTCGAGAGAGCAAGCAAAAGAACACGAGCAGGAGGAAATGGGGGGAGAGGGGGAGGGAGAAGCAGACTCCCCGACGAGCAGGGAGCCCGATGCAGGACTCAATCCCAGGACCCTGGGACCACGACCCAAGCCAAAGGCAGACGCTTAACTGACTGAACCACCCAGGCGCCCAATAAATAAATAAATCGTAAAAAAAAAAAAAAAAAAAAAAAAAAAAAAAAAGACTTATTTTTTTGCATTGAATTTTTCCAGAAATAAACCTACCACATAAACTAAGGAAACATTTAATTTTTTCTTTCAGAATTTTACCAAGAGATTTTCACTGTTTCAGAAAATCATGTTACTGTGATCCTGCCAACAAAATACCCGGTTATCAGTCCACACTGCTCACTGTGGCTCTGGACAGAAGTGCACATTTAAATATTTCACGTGTTTAGCTGTGTCCAAGCATTTAAATACTGAAATACAGTATTTCATATGTATATGAAATAATACTTTCATATTATAATTATGACATAACACTATTTTTTAAAAACTATGTGTTGGAAAGCTCTATGAGCTGGGACTTTCATTTCCACCTAGTAAAAAATCAGGCCTAGGGGCACCTGGGTGGCTCAGTCGTTAAGCGTCTGCCTTCGGCTCAGGTCATGATCCCAGGGTCCTGGGATCGAGCCCCGCATTGGGCTCCCTGCTCCACAGGAAGCCTGCTTCTCCCTCTCCCACTCCCCCTGCTTGTGTTCCCTCTCTCTCTGTGTCTCTCTCTGTCAAATAAATAAATAAAATCTTTAAAAAAAAAATTAAAAAAAAAAAAAGAATCAGGCCTAAGAGGTGGGCACTGGGCTAAGAGGTTAAGAAACCATGAAGGGAAGAGCGAGGGAAGAGAGGCAAAGCCAGGGTCAAGCTCTGGGTCCCTGCAACACCTCACAGGTCGGGGGGAGGAAAGAGGAGACTGAGACACAGCAGCCAAGGAGAATCTGAGTGGTGGGCGAGGCGGACTGCAGTGATGCCTGGGGAAGCTGCTCAGATCTCCTTCACGACCAACACCCTCACTCTCTCACCTCCCAGAGGCATGAGACACTACCAGCCCCAGGAGAAGTTCCATCCCAGGAAATGCCACTCACCCCTCCTGGGAATCGGTCAGAATTCATGACTGGGGAGGGGGTTCAGAGACCCGGCCCCCAGGCCTCAATTCAGAACAAGTCAGAAGGGCTATCGGAGTTCCGGTGACCCCCCTGAGACAAGCTGAGGCCTCGGTGTGACTGCACGGTGGCTCCATTTCACTCTCTGCCCAATCTGCCCCCCTCATTCCCCTGCAAGAGTGGTCCCTGAGACCACTCCCGGATAAACTTTCTGCATGCAATCCTTCAAGAGGCTGTTTCCCAAAAAGTCTGACCTAAAGCAGCCGAAAACTGGGAAGAAGAAAAAAAAAAAAAATCAAGTAGCGGTAACGTATGTTTTTCAGAGATAGAGCAATAGAAGCCAAAATAAGCATCTGAAAGAAATGAATGTTGCCTTTGGCAGGCAGAAAAATTATGATACGGGGCGGGGAGCAGAAGAACATCATGTTATAACAAACTTCACAACTGTCTTTATGTGCAATGATGACTTCAATAAACATTTTTTAAAAGGCTAAATTTAAATTAAAAAATGTTAGCTTTTAATTTATAGCCCTGCAAATAGTCACTTCTCAGTGGAGAAAGCTGGTAGCTGTCTCCTTAAGCAAATGGCCAAAGTTAACGTCACAAATACCAGAAGTGACATCATCACGCACATCCTTACATGATGCGCTAATGAGGTGCTCCTGCCAGAACACCTCACACCAGGAAGTACCAGGCAAACACTGAGAAACCATCTTAAAAAACGGGCCTGTTCTCTTCAAAGTCATAGAGATCAAGAAAGACACTGAGAGGGGCGCCTGGGTGGCTCAGTCAGTTAAGCGGCTGCCTTCAGCTCAGGTCATGATGATCCCAGGGTCCTAGGATCGAGTCCCGCAACCAGCTCCCTGCTCAGTGGAGAGTCTGCTTCTCCCTCTCCCTCTGTCTGCCTCTCTGCCTCCTTGTGCTCTCTATCTCTCTGTCAAATAAATAAATAAAATCTTAAAAAAAAAAAAAAAGAAAGAAAGAAAGACACTGAGAAACGGAGACCCTGTTCCGAACAGAGGGAGACTAAAGAGACTCGACCCTGCCGTGCAGCATGAGTCCTTGCCAGGGAAGGACAACGGTTACTAGAAAGGATGATACTGGGGAAATTGATGAAATCTGAACACGGCCTGAAGACTAGTAAATAGTGCATGGATGTTCAATTTCCTGATTTTGACGGTCGCGCTGCGATCACGTAAGGGAACATTCTTTTCTTAGGAAATATATACCCAACTATTCAGGGGTCAAGAGGCATGATGTCTTCAACTTCCTCTCAACTGGCACAGTAGGGGGGAAATATATCTGTGTGTATAAATTAAATGGAAAAGCGTAGGGGGCAAAAAGTAAATGAATGAGTGGGTCAAGGATATATAAGAGTTCCTTGTACTATTCTTACAGAATTCTTATTCCACATATCTGTAAGTTTGCAAATATATCAAAACAAAACTACAAAAAAAAAATACAATTTCTAACTTTCAACAGCCTACTCTTTCTAATGGTCCTAAGCCTTTACAGAACTTCAAAAATGCCTGCTCAGGCTCATATGACGAGATGCTGGGGTCCCGAATGCCTCAGAAGGACTCAGATAAAGGTGTTAAAGTCTCAGGATTCCAGGCAGCCTCCTACCCAGCCCACTCAGTCCCTGGCATCCGGCCCACAGCCCCACTCACCTGCTGTCATGGGAACAACGTCGGAACGCAGCAACATCCGGATGCGGCCGGCCGGCTTGTTCCCGATCTTGATGTCCATGTACATGGTCATCGGATTCGACCGGACCTTTTTTGCCGTGGGCTCTCCCTGGGCACAGAAGAAATGTCAGGTTGGGGAGCACTAGACTCCGCAAGTCGGAGAGCGGGTATTCTGCATACACACCAAGAACCCAAGGGCAGCAAGTGGGCCGCAGCAAGGTGCTGCCAGCCGGAGCCCCAGGGCCGGGACCCCGAGCACCGGCTAAATAACTGCCCCCCCCAACTGACCCCGCAGGCTCGGGACCGCGTCCCACTTGCCCTCAGACGCCAGCTCGCTGCACCCTGGCCTGTGGTCCCAGAACCCCAGCTCCGTGGCCCACAGTGCGTGCCTCTCCGCACCCGCAAACCCCAGTTCAGGGGCACGTGGGTGGCTCAGTCAGTTAAGTGTCTGCCTTTGGCTCAGGTCATGATCCCAGGGTCCTGGGATCCAGTCCTAAGTGGGGCTCCCTGCTCATTAGGAAGCCTGCTTCTCCCTCCCCTTCTGCAGCTCCCTCTGATGCTCCCCCTGCTTATACTCTCTGTCAAATAAATAAAATCTTGGGACACCTGGGTGTCTTAGTCGGTTAAGCGGCTGCCTTCGGCCTGGGTCATGATCCCAGGGTCCTAGGATCAAGTCCCACATCGGGCTCCTTGCTCAGCGGGGAGCCTGCTTCTCCCTCTCTCTCCCTCTGCTTGTGCTCTGTCAAATAAATAAAATCTTAAAAAAAAAAATAAAAAAATAAAAACAAACAAAAAACAAATAAATAAAATCTTTAAAAAACAAAAACAAGGGGCGCCTGGGTGGCTCAGTTGGTTAAGCGACTGCCTTCGGCTCAGGTCATGATCCTGGAGTCCCCGGATTGAGTCCCGCATCAGGCTCCCTGCTCAGCGGGGAGCCTGCTTCTCCCTCTGACCCTCCTCCCTCTCATGCTCTCTGTCTCTCATTCCCTCTCTCTCAAATAAATAAATAAAATCTTAAAAAAATAATAATAATAAAAATAAAAAACAAAAACAAACAAACAATCCCAGTTCAAGCCCACTCCCATGACAGGGACCCATAATCTTTTCCCTCTGTGCCAGGCCCTACAGATTCATAGCTGGCTGCAGTGGAAGCAGAATGGGCGGCGCTCGGGCTCGGGCCTGAGTGCCCAGGAGACAATGAGGTCGGGCCTTGCTTTGTGCTCTGAGTGCACCGGGATGACTAGCTGATAAATACAACATTCAGTACAAACCCTATCATGTGTTTGCTAGAGAAAACTATGGTCTCTGACCTATTTGTGGTGTGGATTAATAGGGCAACGGATACGTACTGGCTTGCAGGCCAAGTTCTGGAGTTGTTAAATAAGGCCCTTAAGGAACTGGCAACCCAGCGGGGGAGCGACATCCGCGAGTGCGGGAGGCACAGAGATCCCGCGGCTGCACAGCCTTGGTTCCCATCGCGGTTCCCCACTCCGGAGCTGCGTGCTGTTGGACAAGTTATTAGATCTCCCTGTACTCAGTTTTGTCACCTCGAGTTGGAGACAGTATTAGTACTTATCTCAAAGGATTATCGTTAGGATTCAGGATTTGTAAAGCCCTTAGAACAGTGCCTGGTATAAAGTAAGCAACATTTAAACATCTGTTAAATAACTACTGTCAAAATAATGCTGTAAGCGCCCGGACTGAGGGCGCCCCAGGAGCCCCGGGACCATGGAAGCCCAGAAGGGACCTTCGCTTACTCCACTGGAGGTGTCAGAAAAGTTTCCTGGAGAAGGTAGCAACTGAGCTCAGCGATGAAAGGTGAGTAGGAGTGAGCGAGATAAAGTCGGTTGGGAAGGGAACTTTTTAGGCCAAGGAACTGCTTATGTGAAAACACAGAGATTTATAGGTACCCACAAACTCTGTCCTAGAATGCCAAATGGGGATATAACGTGGAGAGGTGAGTGGGGTCCGAACACGGAGAGTCCCTCTGTCCCCCTGAAGGAGCCCGGACTCACCTCTCCAGATGAGGAGTCCTCAGACAGCTTGAGAGCCGTATGGTCAGCTCTGCCTTAGAAAGCTCCCTCTGGCTGCTCAGGACAGGAGCACGCAGGCCCGGGGCAGGGAGACCAGCTAGGGAGCTCCTGTCACTATCCACAAGGGAGATGACAGAGGCTAGCCAAGCCACGGTGGCGGGAGCAAATGGGAGAGGAGAGATGCAGGCGGATGCAAAGGAGAACATTAGCAGGACATGGCAACGCAGGAGGTGTGGATTATGATGAGGAGCCAGAGGACATGGAAGTCCCTGGTGTGGGGGACTGCGGAAGACACCAAAATTCACTCAGATGGGGTACTCAGGATGACCAGAGTGGAAGGAGAGAGGAAATCCACTTAGGACGTTACTCTGTTGATTTATGGTGACTGGGAGAGAGGAAATCCACTTGGGATATGCTTTGTTGATTTATGGTGACTGGGAGACATGCAGGCAGAAACATGTGGAACTCAGGAGAGAGGTCAAGGCTAGCCCTAGACATCAGGAAATCAGCAGAAGGCTGAGTGGCTGTGATAAGCTCAGACACGGGCCACAGAGGCCGAAACTGCAAGGACAGCATCAGAGAGGAGCCGAGGGCTAAGGGAGGAACTCAGAGAAACACCACTGCTCCAAGGGTGGACAGAGGAGGGGGAGCTCGGTTATTTATTCCCAGAAGCAATGGTCACGATGGGGTATCGAGAAGCAGGAGAAAGTGCTGAGGCAGGAAGCGCCCGGCACCTGGGTACATTCTGAGGAGCTGAGGCCTCTCTGGAATCAGGCCAGGAATAGGAAGGCAGCGAGCCTGGTGCCAAGGTCTTCAGTGAGGGTGCGGGAAAGGTCAGGAGGATGGCGGATGCTGGTGAGGGGGTATCCTCACTGTCCTTTCTCATCTCAGACCGCCACCTAGTTCAAGCAATCTCATGCTGGTACCCAAGCACGCACAGGATACTTCTCACCTAGAGCCCCACACGGACAAGAAAGCCAAGCTTCTCCATTCAATTCATCCAGCACCGCCCACCTCAGAAGCGCCCTGGGTGGAAAGTGCCAGCCCCTCGCAGGGAAGCGCATGCCTTCGATCTCACCTCCCGGGTTTCCACTCTGGGAGGCTCCAACCCTTCTTCCTCTTTATTCTCTTCAAGAGTCTTCCCAGAAAACTTCTTCAGCCAGTCATCATCTGCCCACACTGAAAGGAAAAGAATCGAACGAATGCTAAGAAATTCAAGCTTCTCGGCCAACTGCTCGCTAGCTGTGCCCAGTGCTTTGCTGCTCTGTCGACGAAGTGGACGACGGCCCATGGGGCTCTCACGGGCAGAAGGTACCGCTTAGGACAAGGGAAGCTGTCACTGGGAAATGTCAGACCTTCAGGTCCAGCTCTCCACAGAGGCAGAGGCAGAGGAGAGAAACAAAGAAGGACTGAGCCGAGAGCCAAAAGGGAAGCCCCAGCCACCGTCAAGGCTGGAAGGGCACAGTCCGTGTCTACATCCCGGGGCAAGACTTTCCTGGGGACAACGGCTCTAGCTCTGCGGAGAATCTCAACCTCTGTTTCCACGGAGGTGCCACATTCTCTTCTCCCCCATACACCTCTCTCCCCGTGGACATACACCACCGCAGCGGGAAGTGAGACAGCGGAGGCCAAAGCTGAGGACGTGACGAGAAATCTGCGGTTGCCGCCACTCGCCCGGTCTGGATGAGCCTTCCTTAATTCTCACTGGGTTGGCTAAATGGACACGAACTGTCTGCCCAAAGAGTTCAATTCATTCTGAAAAGACTACAATACCACTCAGCTGCTTAAACCTTGTTTAAGTTAAAAAAAAAAAAAAAAGATTCCATTTACTTCTAAGAAATCTGAGACTTGCTCATGATTAATTCTATGCTGGGAGCCCAAACGCCCCAACAGCAAGCTAAGCACAAAGCTAACCATAAACTGTCCCTGAGCCACCACACACTTCTTTCAACACCAATATGAAGTTCTGTGCTAGCATGATCTTCGGATCTGAAATTATAAGGGTAAATGCAGTTACCGTGTATTGAGTCTGCTTTAAAAAATCAAGATCAGGGGCACCTGGGTGGCTCATCAGTCATGATCTTGGGGTCCTAGGATCGAGCCCTGCAACGGGCTCCCTGCTTCTCCTTCTCCCTGCCCCTGGCTCTCCAATAAATAAATAAACAATAAATAAATAAAATCTTTTTAAAAAAAATCAAGATCAGCACTAAATGGGAGAGAAACAGTATCGCTTGCTGGTGGGGAACATGTTTGATGAAACAGTAATGTATTCATGGAACGATGTATAGGGATACATTATTATCCAAGAATAACTGATACTAGGGAAAGGTAAGTAGATAGATTTTTTAAAAAGGCTTGTTTTGGGTCTTTTCATGAAAACTAAAAAAAAAAAAAATATGAAAAAAGATTCCTTAGTTTAGTAAGAGAGAATTATAGCTATGCTCTTGTTCTTAGAAACAGATGAATCAAGTACGAATTTTACTTCTAACAATTAAGAAAAAATTGAACAAGAGCATGAAATATCCTTATTTCATATTTAGTCATAAAGATTGATTATAAGGAAAATAAAAGATTGAACATAAAGGTAAAAAAGGGGAGGGTGGAAACATTTAAGAATTTTGTTGTAGGCAAAATAATGGTGCCCTCAAAGATGTCCACATTCCATTCCCCAGGACCTATGAATATGTAGAATTACATGGCGAGAAGGAAGTAAGATTGTAGATGGAATTAAGGTCACTAGTCTGCTGACCTTAAAATAAGGGTATCATACTGGATTATCCAGATGCACGCCCAGTGTAATCACAAGGGTCCTCTAAATGTGCAGAGGAAGGCAGGAGAGTTAGTTTCAGACTGATGCAGTGTGAGAAAGACTCACTGGGCCACTGCTGGCTTGAAGATAGAAGCGACCAGAAGCCAAGGAATGAGGTCAATCTCTACAAGCTGGAATATGCAAAGAAACAGACTCTCCCCTAGAGCCTCCACAAGGAATGGAGCCCTGCTCACACAGTGAGACCCACTTTGGACTTCTGACCTCTAGAACTGTAAGATAATGCATTTGTGGTGTTTTGTTTTGTTTTTAAAGATTTTATTTAACTCTTTGACAGAGAGGTGAGCACAAGCAGGGAGAGCGGGAGAGGGAGAAGCAGGCTCCCTGCTCAGCGGGGAGCCTGATGCGGGGCTCGAGCCCAGGACCCTGGGATCATGACCTGAGCCGAAAGCAGATGCCTAACGACTGAGCCACCCAGGCGCCCCCATTTGTGGTGTTTTTAAAGCCACTAAATTGGTGGCAATTTGTTACAGCAGCAGTAGGAATTTAAATCATTTTCTTTTGAAGCACTCAGCCTATCACACTCCTTACAGGTTTTCTCTGGTTTAACTACAAGAGAGCCACTTTTCTAGGGCTCAAGAGAGTCTCCGCTGTTGACGAGAGCCAACCACAGCAGTTTTCCACGATCGCTTTCACACGCCTCATGGAACCCTGCCTCTCACGCCAGCTTCACAGTTTCACCTTTGTAATCCTTGTACCTCTGTTTGTGGTGCATCGCCCTAGACTGGAGGCCGGCAAACTTTCCGTCAAGAGCTAGACAGTAAATATTTTTTGTGGGTCATACACGGTCTCTGCTGCATATTCTTCTTTTTTTTTCCCCACGACCCATTAAACATATAAAAAACGACTTAGCTCATAGGCCATACAAAAACCGGCTGCAGGCTGGATGTGGCCTGTCGTCCGAAGTTTGCTGACCCCTAATGTAGATACAAAAATGTCGGGGACAGACTGGCCAACACAGGTGGTTGGCATTTATGCACACGGTCAATGGAAAGGCTTTCTGAATGAGAATTCATTTTATAAGTAGCCAGTTCCCAGTGAATACTTTCAAATAATGACAACTTTTGTGTCCTAGATAACTTTGAAACTGTGGAAACTGGAAACATGATAGGCGCCTGAGGGTCTCATGTCCTGTAAAGGAGCATCCCCATAAGGGCTTCAGTAAAAAGCAAAGAGTCTCAGCCAGACCAGGCTGTTGTTGCTGCTGAGCACCCTAAGAGGATATGAGTTCATGCTCGCAGTCCCACTCTTCCTGTAGTTAGCACTCAAATAAAAGCTCCGTAGCACAAGCACATGGAAAAAAGACACACTTTCCCTTCCTACCTACCTACCTACCTAGATTAGATGCATTTAACAAAGAGCATGTACTAACTGCTTGTTAGAGCTGGTGATGCAAGGATGTGTGCTCAGGTTGTGGGAACAGAATACACACAGGAACCAAGAACTAGCAATGCCAGGCCCCAGAAAGCTTGGGGCTCTGCAGGGTCTGTCTTCTATATTCTACCTACATGAGGGGAACTATGAGCCAGGCCTGGTGGGCCTTCCTTCAACCAGAATGTCCAGTCCCTCGGCAACGGCCCCCACCAAACCAGGGTTTTGGGGGTTGAATAATGTCCCCCGAAATTTCATGTCCACCCAAATTTCAGAATGTGACCCTATTTAAAAATAGGGCCTTTGCACGGGGCGCCTGGGTGGCTCAGTCGTTAAGCGTCTGCCTTCGGCTCAGGTCATGATCCCAGGGTCCTGGGATCGAGCCCCGCATCCAGCTCCCTGCTCCGCGGGAAGCCTGCTTCTCCCTCCCCCAGTCTCCCTGCTTGTGTTCCCTCTCTCTCTGTATTTCTGTGTCTCAAATAAATAAATAAAATCTTTAAAAAAAAAAAAATAGGGCCTTTGCAGACATAATTAGTCAAGATGAGGTCATATTGGATTAAAATGGACCCTAAGTCCCATGACTGATATCCTTGTAAGTAGAGGAGACGCAGACGCATGCAGGGAACAAGGACCTGTGAAGACAGGGGCAAAGATAGGGCTGATGCAGTTACAAGCCAAATAATGCCAAGGACTGCCAGGAGCCACCAGAAGCTAGGGAGGAAAGGATTCTTCCCTACAGCCTCCAGAGGGAGCATGGACCTGCCAACACCTTGATGTAGGACTTCTAGCCTGCAGAGCTAGAAGAGCTAAGAGAATAAATTTCTGTTGTGTGAAGCCACCCCAACTGCTGCTCTCCCTGCTTGTGCTCGCTCGCTCTCTCTCTCTCTGACAAATAAAGTCTTTATTTTTATAAAAAAGATTTTATTTATTTGACAGCGAGAGAGCATAAGCAGGGGGGAGTGGCAGGCAGAGGCAGAGGGAGCAGCAGACTCCCCGCTGATCAGGGAGCCTGATGCGGGGCTCAATCCCAGGACCCTGCAATCATGACCTGAGCTCAAGGCAGACGCTTAACCGACTGAGCCACCCAGGCACCCCATAAATAATAAAATCTTTTTAAAAAAATGAAAATCTAATTTTTAGATGCTTCCAAAAATATTAAAATCATTTTATTTTAAATAAACATAGCTAAACAGTGAATTTTTAAACTTTGTAGTATCCAATTCTACCACTACAGAATTTAAGCCTTAAGTTACTTTCCAAGCATTTTAATGACTTTTGTTTATAAGACTTACAGAACATAGATAAAGTTGTTTACCAGTTATTCCCTCCATGGGTGGCTCAGATGGTTGAGCATCTGCCTTCGGCTCAGGTCATGATCCCCTGGTCCTGGGATTGAGCCCCGCGTCAGGCTCCCTGCTCAGCGGGGAGCCTGCTTCTCCTTCTCCCTCTGCCACTCCTCCGCTTGTCCTCTCTGGCTCTATCTCTCTGTCAAATAAATAAATAAAACCTTAAAAAAGATTATTCACTCCAACTGAGCACCAAATGAATACAGAGCGCTTACCTCACTACTGAGTTTGGTGACTGCTAGTGAAGGGAGCCTACTCCTGTCCTCAGGAAAACGTTACGTTAGCTGGCAGACAGCAAGAGCAACAGGAATTACTAATTTATAGAATTCAGGGAGGGTACAGCCCCCAGAAAGCCAGTCTTACTGTTTTATTTAAGAAACGAAGAACTGAAGGCTCAGATGGTTTAAGTATCACACCCAGAGTTAGTGGCACAGCTGGGTCTAAAACTCCTATCTTAGAGAATAACAACCAAAGATCACATAGAAACGTGCACGGTAACTGTGATACCATTTTAAGGGAAACTCCCTCGGGGTGAGTAGAGGCCAAGGCCCTCACTGCTGCAGCTGAGCTTCCCTGCCACCCTCTGCTATTTAAAAGCACAGCTGCCAACAAGGGAGGTCTGATCAGCAGGTGTGGTGGGGTATAGCTACCCAGCAGGTGGCGTGAAACAACACCCAGACCTTTCAAGATTTTTCTAAAACTACCTTCCTACTGAATCCTACTATACAGTTTGTTTATTAAATGATCAGAAATCAAAGGCCCCAAAGGGTTCCAATGTGGAGAAAGCCTTTCCTCAAATCCAACAAACTGTCAATCTCTGTGAATTTCAGCCCATAGCCACACCACCATCCTGGCCCTGCTGTCCTCAGAACGTTCCTCTTCCATCACCAAGATCATAGTCACGTTGACCCAGAGAGGCATCCTCCTGAACTTCGTTACATACCAACCATACACAGAACACACATGACTTAAAATTTTTCCTGAAGTCCTTTTCCTGACATTAGGAATCTGAAAATGAGACACTGAAGTCCTCACCTGTTTCACCAGAAGAAACTAAGTATCTGTGGTGTCTCCAAAAGGAAGCAGCATGAAGAACTCTGTTGTCCACCTCCTCTGCCAGCCCACCTGCAAAGACCACGTGCCTTCTGAACCGATGCCCTCCACACGCTTGGTACAAGCTGCTGCAACACAGCCAGACAGCAGCGGCCGGAGGAGGAGTCCCTAGTGTTTTAGGTATACAAAATGACCTGTGAGGTACACTCCTCCCCCATCCCCTTTCAGACTTACATCGAGCCTCTGGTTACTCGGATACCTTCACTGCCTCCAGTTTGACTCTCTCTTCTATACAATCACTAGAATGAATCCAAGAAAGTGCAAATCGGATCACATCACTATCCTGCTTAATATTCTCCAACAGCTCATTACTGCCCACGGAACAGAGTCCAAATTCCTTAGCACGGCATATAAGACCTTCCTAACCTGAGCCCTGCCCACCTATCTATTCTTCTTTCTCCCTTGCTCCCTCAACGCAAACCATTTGCCCCCAAATGTTAGACCACTTCACCCCTCCAGGCTCTTGCTGCTCTCCATTCAGGTAACAGCCTTACTCCAGATCTTTCAAACCCAGCTCCGGCCTCGGTGCCTCGGTGCAGTTAGTTTGTCCTCCCCTATCCAGACCGAGTGCTCCTTCCCTGAAACCCTCAGCCCGACCCTCCCATCAACACTGTCCATCAAACGCTCGCATCATGGTGCTCACCAGCCCCGGTAAAGATGTTTTCCATAATTCCCCACCTATTCTGTGAATTCCTTCTTCTAAGGGGCCAGGACTGCGGAGTTTATGGAATGAATGGGCATGAGAGTTTGGAATGCGGTCCGAGGTCACAATAACAGATCTCACCAACTCTCCGAGACCAGGGTCAGAGGGAAACGGGTTCTGGGCAGCGCTAGGCCCAGCAAAGCCCTTAGGTCGCAGGCGCTGCTCACAGGCTGGAGGAGCAGAGCCACAAGAGACCCGCCCGGCTAGCTTCAGTGGAGCCCTCACGCCGGCTCAACAGAAAAACAGCACCGTCTAGGGGGCAGCCATCTTGCTCCCAGGCTCTTCCGCCGGAAGCTGTAGCTAGGCCCCGCCCCCAGACCCGCCCCCTCGCTGGTTGCGCACGGCGCTGGGCTCCTGTCCAGGGGCAGGTGGATCTTGGTTTGGGGGGCACTCGGAAGGTAACAGAGAACACAAATACATAGCCGCATTAACCGCGGAAGTCAGAAAATATGGGACTCTACTTCGACCCGGCCTTTATTTCTATTTCTTTTAATGCTGGTGTGATTAACATAATTAACAATGTTATATTTGTTTCAGGTGTACAATAAAGTGATTCAGCGAATCCATTTACAGCTATGTGCTCAAGATAAATGGAATCTTAATCCCCATCACCTGTTTCACCCATCCCCCCACCCACCTCCCCTCTGGTAACAAGTTTGTTCTCTGTGTTTAGGAGTCTGTTCTTTGGTTTGTCTTTTTGTTCGTTTTGTTTCTTAAATTCCACGTGAGTGAAATAATACGGTATTTGTCTTTCTCTGGCGTATTTCGCTTAGCATTACACACACACACACACTTCTTTATGCATTCGTCTATCAGTGGGCACTTGGGCTGTTTCCATAGTTTGGCTATTATAAATAATGCTGCAATAAACATAGGGATGCATGTATCCCTTTGATTTAATATTTTTGGGTTTTTTTTTTTAAGATTTTATTTGCCCACTTAAGGGTGAGAAAGAACTATGTGGGGGGGTGAGGAGCAGAGGGAGAGAAGCAGACCGGGCCAAGCAGGGAGCCCGATGGGGGAGGCTCCATCCCGGGATTCTGGGATCATGACCTAAGCCAAAGGCAGACACTTAATGAGCCACCCAGTATTTTCGTATTCTTTAGGTAAATACCCAATAGTGTGATTAGTGGATTGGGTAATTGTATTTTTTTTTTAGGAACCTCCATATTGCTTTCCAGAGTAGCTGCACCAGTTTGCATTACCACTCCCAGTGCACAAGAGTTCCTATTTCTCCAGATCGACACTTGTTTCTTGTGATTTTAGCCATTCTGACAGGTGTGAGGTGGTATTTCATTGTCGTCTTGATTTGCATTTCCCTGATGAGTGGTGACATTTTTCCATGTCTACTGGCCATGTCTTTGGAAAAATGTCTGTTCATGTCTGCTGCCATGTTTTAATTGGATTATTTGGTTTTCCTTTTTTTTTTTTTTGGACTAGGCTCTATGCCCAACATGGGGCTCAAACTCACGACTCTTGAGACTAAATGTTGCATGCTCTACCAACGGAGCTAGTCAGGCGCCCTGAGTTGTACTTCTTAATATATTTTAGATCCTAACCCTTTGTTGGATGTCTACAAGTATCTTCTCCTTCAGTAGGTTGTCCCAGTTTTGTTGTTTCCTTTGCTGTGGTAAGTGAATCAGCCTTTACTTAAGGTGAGACCAGACCTTAAAGAAAATGGGGAGTCTGCTAACTGCTAAGAGGGAAGAATATTCTAAGGAAAATGACCCCCTGGGTAAGGTCCCGAGTAAAGACAGCCTGCCAGATTTCAAGGAAGGTAAAAAGTGTTCCTAGAGGACAGGGAGGGCAAGCAGACTGGTTGACCTTGGCCAGGTGAGGGCTGTTTTGAGGACTAAAGGAACCACAAAGTGCTTAGGACTCCAGCATTTGTTTGCTGTTGCCACTCAGACCTAGCCCCAAGCCTTTTCCCATTGCCAGAGGAAACCTTAGTTGCATAATCAGCTGACTGCAGAAGAGGGGACCCATAAATGCCAGCTAACACATCCAAGGAGGGAGTGCACCCAGTTCTTCCGGGTCAGACCCCAGGTCTGCTATGATCAGATTTCTATAGGTTTCTACAGGTTAAATGGGGGTCCATTATAAAGGTCCTCCCACAAGAGAACGCAATGGGACAGTTCTGTATACCATTGCTAATAGTCTGTTTGTAACCCATCAGGAAAGGATAAGCTATACAGAACTTCATTTGACTCTAAATACATCCTAAAATTACTTCCAAGTGAAAACTGGATTTAACAGAGTGAAACAGCACAGGCAGTTTTATGGAGATTTTTTTCTTTATTGAGAAACTTAAGACTTGGGTACATCAAATAAAACCAATTTCGGGGGGAAAAAATCAAAACCCACAATAGAAAAAAAAAGTTAACACTGTCTGGGCCATAGCAGAACCCAGAGAATATATTCTTTTAATTGAAAAATTCTAGGTGCTTCATAATTGACCTTTTGATACAAAATGACCTATTAAATTTCCAATTTGTGGTTCTTGGTGTTGAGGTCCATAGGACACGCTAGGAATCTTCAAACCTTGAGCTGAATTCCAGGAGGGGTTATTTGGCTTTTGAATCCTGAAAAGCACCAACACAAATTAAATACATAATCAGAAAAACCTGAGATGCACTGAATCTCCGGCTTATAAAAAGGTATTGCAAGAGCAGTGCTTCCTGACATTCGGGCAGGACGATTTTGTTGGGGCTCTCCTGGGCACTGTGGAACATTTAGCAGTATCCCTAGCCTCTACCCACTGGATGCCAGTGACACATCTCCAGCTGTGACAACCCAAAATATGTCTCCATTGGCAAATGTCCTCTGAGGGGGAACTCCTGGCTGAGAATCACCCACTCTGAGGCTAGCGAGGTACTATAAAGCCCCACGCCCTTCCTGGCCATCCTGTACTCAAAGCTACCATTCTCTTGCTTAAATCCAAATGAAGGGTCTGGGCCCTTACCACGTGTCCTTTCCCCTCGCCTCTGGCTCTGGTTTGTCTGGTCCTCTCCTTCCTCCATGAGGAGGCACCCGCCAGTCCTGGTCACAGGTCCTAGTTAAGCCTCACTCACCCCCGCCCCTGCGGCTGGGGGCCACAGCTGCCAGGGTCAGAAGTGGACTAGAACACACCCTGGAACTAGTCAGGTGTGTCTGTCTCTCCCACTCCGACACCAGGGCCCGTGCCCCTTGTGTTCCCAGAGCCACGCGGCGGCTGCACACACAGCTGCTCTCACCAACCTCAAGCCAAACCAGGGAGATATGTTCACAGAAATGAGGCTGTGGGATCTGATTATGACGCCTTATCTGTCATTATTCTAACCCAAAAAGGTCATTCATCTAACCAGGGGCTCCTTCTACAGAAAACTGTCTGCTCCTTATAGTTTACAACCTGTCCTCTCTTTTCTCCAAATTAACTCTTCCAGATGACAGACAGAACCCAGGTGACTGCCTGTCCAAGGTACCGGGTTATAGTGGCTCTAAGTAATCTTTTAGGAAGATTGTCACAAGTCAAAGCCATTGCAGAAAACAAAAACAGCCAAACATACGGTTCTTCCTTGGCTAAGAGGTAGCAGCGGCAACAGCGCCCACCTTCTGGGCAGCTTCTTTCTTGGCATGATGAGCCTGCAGAACCGCCACAGCTTCATCCACCTGTGAGCAATCTCCAGGTGGTTAGTGACATCTGAGCAGAGGCCCTCGGCCCCTCCCTGGCGCGCGGGGCCCGGCAGCGGTGTTGCCGGGTGCTGCCCGCTCCTAATTCCCACCCACAGCAGCTCTCAAGTCACAGGCGAGGCGCGACGAGAGGGTCGGGAGACAGCAGACCCGCCTCCCCCTGCAGGGCCCGGGGACCAGCTCACCTTGGAGCGGAGCGACTCGGGGGACTCGAGCATGTGCAGCAGCTCAGAGTTGTCAATCTCCAACAGCATGCCCGTGATTTTCCCAGCCAGGTTTGAATGCATGGTTTGGATGAGCGGGAACAAACGTTCTCCTGGGGGTGGAGATCGAATTAAAGCCCAGGGTGAATCCCAGTGAATGGACACTGGTGTCCGGGTCAGTGCCAGGCTCTGGCCCCCTCTCCTGCAAACACATGGCTCACTCACCCAGCATCTGCTTCTGCTCCTGGGGGGGCGCTGCGGCCAGCATGGAGGCGGTCAGGGGCTCCTGCCCCTGCACATGGACCGCAGGCTGCGGTGCCTGGGAACCAGGAGAGGCAGCAGGTTAGCAACACTGAAAGGATGCTCGATGGTCCTGAGCCTGACCACTCAGTCTGAAAGCCTACTGTTTGACAGAGATGGAGGTGGGTGTCCTTGGTGCCAAGGAACTAATGGCAAGCTTGAGGGATGAGGGGTTACAGGAGCAAGAGTGTTATAGGCTTGAACACAAAACCAACTACAATAAAAACAGCATGCTATTAAAAGGAATAGGAAATGACTAAGAAAATAAACCTACAAGGCTCAGCAATCATCAAATGATTCCATTTATAATTACATCCCACATCACTTTATTGTACCAAATGTTTTTATTCTATCAAATGCTTGAGGACTGTCAACATGCATTGTCAATGCCAGTCCCAGCCCTAAAAGGAAGGCTCTGAAGGTAAAAACTATTTTACATAAGCAGAGTTCTGAGGCATCTCGCATTTAGACAGCACGAAGCACGAGCAGGCGACTTAGGGGCCACAAGGCAGACTGCAGCTCCTCTAAGCAAATTACTCCTGGGCTCTGGGTCCAGTCCCCCATCCCAACTTAAGATCTCTGAAGCCGAACTTCTCTTCTGCTAGATGAAGCTCTTTCCTGCCTGCATGTCCCCGTCTCGCAGAGCAGCTAAGGATCAACTCGGCCAGTGGGCGTGAGCAGCTCAAAGAGCCAAGCGAGCACACACATGTTGTACAAAGGAGGGCGGAAACAGCAGCTGTTTCTGCTGGGGCATTTCTGAGTAGACTACTACGGGGAGGAATACTTCCCAGCCCCTTCTCTCCCAGCAGAGAGAGCCCGAGAGGCAGTGTCACCACAGAAAACACGGCACCCTGACACAGCGGGCGTTTAATACCTGTTGGAGGAATCAAAGCAAGGCACCTTTTCAATCAAGTGCCAACAGGGGAGATCCTTTTAGCATTCTGTTTGGTGGGCCTCACCTGCAGGGGCTGGATGGCAGGGTGAGGGCTGCGGACACTGGAGGCATATTTGTAAGGTGCGACAGCCCGAGGGGCAGCAGCAGCAACAGCAGCACGAGGCGCTAAGGTCTGCACGGCTGGGGGAACACCTTCGGAAAAGAACAAGCAAAATTAAAGCCCATCAGTCTGGGCAAAGACCCGTCAAATCCCATCTTTCCCCATTCTGTGTGCATCCAATACCACCTCCAGACTGGCAGCTGTCAGTCAGCCCTTGCTGGGCGGCACCAGCCCCACCAAAGTCCATAGCCAAGCGGTCCGGGCACTCAGACCCTACAACAGACCAGCAAATGCACATCAGTGTCGGCAGCGAATGTCCAACTGGCCACGTCCCACGGAAGGAGCCATTCCAAAGCCTGTTCACACAACACATCGCACACGGGACCACGACTGCTACTTTCGAGGAGCAGTCAACAGAGAACACACAACTCTCTCCACCTCTTGGAATACGGGACATAGTCTGTAAAGAACAGTTTCTTTCAATCTCCCAACCCCACCCAAAAGAATAGGCTGCCTCTGTAGTCATCCAGCTAACAGGCTTCTATAATTAAGCTTTCTCACATGAGTCACCAATGAGCAGGATCCTTAAAGTCACCAACACTCCTAGAACTCCCACTGTTTCTCTCTCCTTAAGGACCAACCAGAGCACACAGCCATGATTACAGGACCGGAACTGGAACGTGGGCCCAACAAACTGACCAACCCTGGGCAGGGCCTAGCCAACCTGACTCCCTCCTCCCCAGGCCACACTTCTCAAGGCCAGTTTGCTCACCGACTCTCTGAGCGGTAGTAGGGAGGCCACGAGAGGCCGGAGCATTACCAGTTGGAGCCAGATGGCGAAGAGCGGGACGAGGCCCAGACTGGCGTATAGCACTTGGCATTCCTTGGAAGCCTGGTGAAGACAAAAATTGTGCATCACTGATGAAGCATGTGGACCAGAACCTAGGCTGCGCCTCAGAGGGGGCGAGGAGGAGAGGCAGGGAGCCCGGGGAGGCATATCCCGGGTGATGGAACCAGCACTCCCCACCACCTACCTTGAGGTCTCCCACCTTGCTGCCAGCGGGGGTTAGGCCTCATCTGTGCTAACTGGTTGGGTGTGTAATATGGAGGTCTTCCCTGGGCCTGCAAGAAAGAGCACCCAAGCCCTTTTATTTGAAGGACCTGAATCCGCATGAGAGAAGTATCTCATCTCATCTCACTGCCAGGCCCGAGGCTAGTTATTCAAGACCTTCTCTGAGTACTCAAAGGCCTGGGGGAGGGAAGGCCAGTTAACGGGGATTCTTTCATTCTAACTCACTACTGCGTGAAGAGTGAGTGAGAGAATGACTAAATCTTCATTTTCATGGGTCCTTACTCTGACCTTCTGAACTCCAATATCCAAAACCCCTCACCCCAACCACCACGGGCTGCGGCAACAGCCGTCGGGGGGCAGGTTCCGAAGACCCAGGCACACAAGCTGACCCACCTGTGGGACTGCTGGCACGAAGTAACCACCGGCTGCAGGCTGGAACTGATTTAAGATGGCATTGGCAGGGAGTGCTCGCATTCCAGCCACCCGCTGCATGTACTGGTTGGTCAGGTGAGCCTTTCGCTCTTCCTTCCTCTGGGCCAGGGCGACATATAGTGGCTTGGAGCCCACGATGCGTCCGTTCATCTCGGTGACTGCTTTGGTCGCCTCTTCAGGAGATGAGAAGCAGACAAAGCCAAACCCTTTGCTTCTCCCATCCTCCAACATTACCTACAAAGGGACCAGCTACTTAAGGAAAAGGTGTTCTAGTTTGGGGGACAGCTATTAAGAACCAAAAAACCTGGTTTCTGCCGCAAACAGTTCCCAAGTCTAGGGCAAGGGTTCTAGACCTGTCACGGGATGTACCCCAGACCAATTAAGTCACAACCTCTAAGGAGAGGACCTAGGCATTTTGTTTGTTAGATCCCCAGGTGATCCTAAAAGTTTCTAAACACTATGATATGGCTAATGGTTAAACCAGGAACCCAAAGATATTTCCTGACACCTAGAAGCGTAGTAGCTACCTTTGGATACCCGACAGAGATCTGGACAGTGTTAAGCTGTTTACTTGTAAAACTCATCTGCCCAAGACCTTGGTGAACAAAACTTTTATCATCTCTTAGCAAGGTTAGGATATGCTTTTGAAATACCACATACACGCAGGAGTTACAAAACCAATGACTGCCACCATTAATTCAATGGGAGTTAACAGCAGAAAGGTGACCAGCTAGGAGAGAGAGCTGGATTCTAGTCCCAGTTCAGCGATTTCTAAGCTCTGTGATTTTTTTTTTTTTTTTTTTTTTAAGATTTTTATTTATTTGAGACAGATAGAGCACAAGTACGGGGAGCGGCAGAGGGAGAAGCAGGCTCCCTGCTGAGCAGAGCCTGATGAGGGGCTTGATTCCAGGCCCTTGGGTTCATGACCTGAGCTGAAGGCAGATGCCCAACCGACTGAGTCACTCAAGTGCCCCCGCCCCCCCTTTAAAAAAGATCTTATTTATTTTTTGAGAGAGAGTGCATGAATACATGGGAGCAGGGGTGGGCAGAGGGAGAGAATCTTTTTTTTTTTTTTTAAAGATTTTTATTTATTTGTCAGAGAGAGAGAGAGAGGGAGGGAGAGAGCACTCACGAGCAGGAGAGCAGCAGGTTCCTCGCCGAGCAGGGAGCCCGATGCGGGGCTCCATCCCAGGACCCTGGGACCATGACCTGAGCCGAAGGCAGCCGCTTAACTGACTGAGCCACCCAGCTGTCCCAGAGGGATAGAATTTTAAAAGCAGGCTCCACACTCAGCACAGAGCCCAGATGTGGGGCTTAATCTCAGGACCCTGAGGTCATGACCTGAGCCAAAATCAAGAGTCAGATTTTTAACCGACTGAGCCACCTAGGCTAGCTGCCCCTAAGCTATGTGAAACGCTTGCCCTCTCTCTGAAGCTTGATGCCCACAAGATCCTCTAAGGCCAACTGCCACAAAGCCACAGGTCTACCGGTTCAGGCCATCTTTTCCCACAGACGGCTAGTCATTCAGACAGTTCTTTTCCTCACCTGAAAAGGTGATTTGTAGCTCCCCCCTGGCCTACCTCCTCAGAAACATTGATAGCAACAGGACAATGTGTGCTTGGCATCTTTTGTGTCTTAGCTTGCTGCCTGGACAGCCCTCCTGAGGTGGAGGACATGAAAGTAAGGATGCGTACCAACCCAACGGCTCTATCAATGAGATGGGCCAGCGCAGTCTCTGAAAACATGACACCCTGATCTTGAAAATAGGGCCTGTGAAACTTGCAAGACACGGTTCTTTTATCCTCTTCCTACAAATACCAACTCGAACATTGTGCTGATAAGCAAGGAGAGACCATCATTCCTCACACCGATGAAGGCCAGTGGCCAGTTAAGGAGGTGGTAAGAGGGAAGGGGCGAGGAAACAAGGAACCCCGACAGGGTGGCCCCTGATCAACTCCCTGCTACAAATGACGTTCCTTTACGACGCTCCCAGGTTGTGCGTGACGTAAAGCTAAGGGCCAAGGCAGGGTCACCACGTCTTTACCAGCGCACTCGGCCTCCGTTCTCAGCCCCAGGACTCTGACGTGTGCCGCACCTTCGCGGAGCAGCAGCGTCTGCATCAGACTAGGGTCCAGAACCTTCACACATGCATCACTTCCCATCACACCCACCACGGGCCTTGCCCGAGCGCGTTCCATCCTCACCTAACCAGTGTTCTCCTGCTCAAGGACTCTAATTCCTTAGCTTTAGGAGGGGATTCATATGCATTCACCCTGCTGCATCAGTTGATAGGATTACCAAAGAAAACCAAGCAAACAATGCACACGGCAAAACGTGTGAGAGCCATCTTTCCACTCCTCTTAGCTTTGTAAGGCCAGGACAGAAGTTCCCAAACCCAGTTCCCAAGTCCTCAAAATACCTTTGTGCAAGGAGGAAGTGTGGCAGAGTCGTAGAGACAGGCTCCAAGACAAATGGAAAACAACCCGTCTGGATTTCCTCTGCTCATACTGTTGCACCATCTGTCCCCACACCAGCACAAAGCAGCAAAGAATGGGAAAGATTCAGGTGCTTAGGGGTCAATAGGAGGGACTGCTCAGATTCACCACCACACCTCAGTGCCTGGGAGACAGTGCAATGTATACCTCATGAAACGCCCTTCTCCAAAGCATATACTCAGATGCGTAATTGAACGCCAGGAGGAATTTGCTAGATTAATGTGGTATCTATCCTCAGAAATGAACACGATTTAGATTCCACTCTTTCAGTGAAACAAATACCAATAAAGCTCTAAAAAGTTGTAATTTCTGCTTTCGATCCCAAATCTCAGTATAAAATACCTTAGCACTGGTGATTGATCCAAAAGGAGAAAACTCTTTCCTTAACTTCTCATCATCAATGGTGTCATCCAAGTTCTTAATGTAGAGATTCACCCCCTGAAGCAGAAGGATCACCATTAATGCACGTCTGTACCCCACATATGCCCTAAGACGCTGGTTGTCAAAATGTGGTCCTAGACCAACAGCAGCCCCGCTCCTTGGGTATTTCTTAGAAATGCAACTTCTCGGGCCCAAATCCCAATCTACTGAATCAGAAATTCTGGGGTTCTGAAAGCCACGTTTTCACAAGCCCTGCAGGGGATTCTGATGCAGGCTCAGGACTGAGACTCCTGCCGCGGACTCGGACAGGACCCTCAGTGTGGGCCTGGCTTTCTGCACAGCTCCTCTGGCTGACTGCTGGCCCCAGTGGGGCTCCTGCCACCGCTCCAACAAAGGGTAATCATTTAAGTAAAAAGAACCCACACAAGAAAGAATAACAGACTGAGGCTTCCGGAATGAGTCCCTAAACGAATGAATCAATCTTTTGCCCTTGTCCTAGAATCGTTGCTGTATCTGGTAGGTATTTCCTTTTACACCTGAGGATCTTGGGAGAAAGGAGAGGAAGAGGCAGATTCCAGGTGCCCAAAGAGAAAGCCTGCCAGACCTAAGGGTGCTCCTGCCAGTATTCCACAGTAAACCCCTGGGTGGGAGGCTGTGCCAAGAGCCCCTCTCACCTGATACCGACTAATTCTCTCTTGTTTCAGCTGTTCAAATTTCCGCTTTAACTCAGCCTGCCGTTCCACTTTCTTCTGGGCACGGCCTACAAAAATCACTTTCCCACTGATTTCTTTTCCATTCATCTCTTCCACAGCCTAAAGAGGAAACACAGGTCTTAAAAATCAAGACGTAGAGGCCGGGGCCTTGCTCTGGACGCCTGAAAGTCCCACCACAACATTCCAAGAGAAGGAAATCTTTCCTATAGGGCTAAAAATTAATTTTATTCCATCTGAAGTCAGCTAAGCAAATCCAAACTTCCTTGTGAGTAAAATGGGGTTACTACTTAAATGGGTTATTGGTCCAGAGGATACAGAAAAAAATTGTAGCTTTATAAATACAAGCGCGGCAGACATGAGCCCAGGCTGCTAATCTGGGTGTTGCTGAGTCTCTCCTGTTCTGTGGGGAGCGAGTGGTGCACGCTGAGCGCCCAGCACCATGCTTTCCCCGTAAGCAGCTGCTACTGCCAGCAAGTCAGCAACTCCTGGGGCCCTGAGCCCCCTCACTAGGAAGGGGAGCAAACACCCATCCTATTCTTTCACCCTACAGAGCTAGGTGACAGGTAGGTGCCAAGTGCTCTGGGAACAGGTAAATGACGGATTAGCACGTCAAGTCCCCTCAGGCCAGGAACAACATCACTATGACACTCGGGCAATGCCCGCTCCGCTCGGCTATGTGCCAGCCAGGCCCTGCCCACACTCGGGGCCACTTCCTGCAAATGTTTCCCCAACCCTCGTGGGACTCTCACCTTATTGGCATCCTCGTGTTTTTCGTAACTCACAAAGCCAAAGCCTTTGGATTTCCCACTGGGATCTCTCATCACCTTGACACTTAGGGTCTTACCTATTACCAAAGGACAGAACTATTAGTAACACCATCTCTGTTACAGCTCAAGGAGAGAAGGCTTCTCTAGGAGCCCAAATGAAGCCAACTCTTGCTGAACCCAGATGGACTCTAGAAAGAGGTGCCGTGCCTGGCCTTCTACTTCTGACCAAGCTACTGAGACGGCTCTGGGGCTGGGACGAGGTAGGATGAAGCCAAGAGTCTATTCCTATCTACTCTGTGACCCTGTCATGCAAGGTAGTTTACTTCTGGGCCTAGGCGCCCTCATCTCTTAAACAACTAAGATACAGGAGGAGTTGTAGGTCCGGTGGACTGCAGAAGGGGGCACATGGGGTGAAGAAGCCCAACTTACCAAACTGGCTAAATAGCTCTTTCAGACTCTCATCATCCACCTCTTCCCCAAAGTTTTTGATATAAACATTGGTGAACTCCTTGGCTTTGGCTCCAAGCTCAGCTTCCCGCTCTTTTCGAGACTTGAATCTGCCCACAAACCTAAAAAGAGACCATGGGAAACAGTGAACACCCAGAGGAACAAAAATCATGATTTCCAGGGGCCCAAAGGAATATAGGTTAAAGGCTGACAGGAGAGGTTAAAACACACGAGTCCCCATCCAACCACCAAGACAGCAAGCTCAGAGATGCCCCGACTCCCCAGCAGAAAGAGAGAGGCAGGACTGTCCTGCAAGGACCAGCCCCAGGACTCCTGGCTCAGACCAGGGCTACTCCTACCACATCACACTGCCTTCGTGAAGAAACCTGATGACCTTGTTTTTAAAATGTTCATTTCTGTGCATCTATGTAAATGCATAGAAAAGGTCTGGAAGGATACAAACCAAACTGTTAACAGGGGTTAGCCCTAGGGGTGAGACTGCTAGAGTGAACTATGAAAAAGCCTTTGCTTTTGCACTGGCCTCATTCTGGTGTTGTTGACACAAGTGGGAAAATGTATCTATATGCTGAAAAATCTTTAGATCTCTCTCTAGTGATACCTTTGTAAGACTTCACCACTGGCCACATACACATTATCAATGTAATCCATCCCCTGGTCTGTTCAACATAAAAAGGCGCCCCACAAAGAGCAGAAATGATTTTTGCTTGCTCTAGCCAAGACTTATTATCCCTTCTCTCCCTGCCATGGCTTAGCTAAGACCCCCCCTCCCTATTCTGCAATAACCACACTAAAGCAACAAGGTCTATCATGAACAGCGTCTTCTGCCATCAGATCAGATTCTTCATTATAACCAAATTAAGTATTACTGTGGAACCAGCCTTGTATGAGAAGGTCACTGAGTCATAAGTTAGCCAACTGGAGATCTTGGGACAATTTGGCATCAACCCCTAGCAAATGACCCCATGGACAGACCTGAGTCACGGGAAGGCCAAGGTCACATGGCTAGTACACAGCTCCTGGTCAGTCCAGGGCCCTCTCCACTCTGCCGCTGGCCAAGACCCCTGCTCAGAAAGGGCTCATAGCTGCCTTCCAGCAAGCCCCAGTTGCCGGTGCTCACAAAACCCACAGACGGATGATGCTTTTAAGGGAGAGGCGGCAGGCAGGCCATGGCTTGGGCAGGAAGCCCACCTTGGCGAGTCAAAGGGCTGCCACGGCTCGGGCAGGGAGACTCACCAGCCCTGGAGTGGAGAGGTAGGAGCAGGCCACACTTGGGCCGAGAGAACCAGTAGCCGCCTTGTGTGCCAGTTAATACCGAGGTGGGGCCACGGCTGGCTCATGCGATGGCTGTTGCTCCGGACTGGGACACTCACACTTTGCGGTCATTGAGGAGCATGCCGTTCATCTTCTCGATGGCCTTGTCAGCAGCCTCTTGCGTCTCGAAGTGGACAAAGGCATAACCCTTAGAGCCGTTCTCATCACACACCACCTGGCAAAGACAAGCAGACCACGGTAGCACCACTGGTATCTCCAAAGAGTCGAGAACCACGTGGTCTTCTGCTCAGCTGCCAGCGTCTGAGGCCGTTAGCCCATCCACGGTCCAGACAGGAGACTACAGCACGCCAAGTTTTCCTAACACGGAGCACACTACCAGGCACCCAGTGATGTTCCATTTACAAATGGCAGCCACTATTAGGCTGCTTCTATTCCAAGAGTTTTATTTCATTAAAAGACCTTGAAATTTGGGGGCAAAAGCACCGTGCTGCCAAAAGTGACCATTTTCCAAACCCACAACAGAATTTCAGTCTAGTGCGGAGTTAGACATGTAAACAACCACCACACCAGTTGTACAAAATTCTCCACATAAACAGGTGCACAGAGAAGGAAGAGGATGATTTTATGCTTCTGAAATGACCAAGTACAGCCACCTGGAGACCTGAGGCACTGCTCTGGTTCCCCCACAGAAAGGAGAAACCCTTTGATGCCCTCCAAAAGTAGGAAACAGGAAGGATATTTTAGGCAGAGGGACGAATAAACAAAGACACAAAAGCACCTGCTGGTCATGCTGGGTTGTGGCACAAGATTACCTACAGGGAATTTTTAGGCTGCAGAGCCATTTCCAGCATTTCAAAAATGACCATATCCTGTCGCCCAATTCCAAGGCTGTTCCCCCTTTAGTATTTCTCTTGTTCTCATGAGTCAGTAATCATTCCAAAGTCCTTTAACTGGTGCTTACCTTGCAAGACAGAATGTTTCCAAAAGCAGAAAAAGTATCATAAAGTGCCTTGTTATCTATAGATTTGTCCAGATTCTTGATGAAGACGTTTCCCACACCAGATTTTCTCAAAGAGGGATCCCTCTGAGACCACATGATACGGATTGGCTTTCCCTTAATCACATCAAAGTTCATGGTATCCAAGGCCCGCTCAGCTGCAAGAGAGAAACACATTTCAGTCAAGGATATAAAACGTCACCTCGTGTTGACGACTGCCACCATCCCAGGAACAGATGACTGTAGGACTTTTCAAGGTAATCACTCTGATAAAAGGCAACTCTATTAAAACTAAAGGGCATCAGCTCCCTCTAGCCCGTGTTGCTCCTGAGGGTAGACATTCTGGCCAGTCGATCCACATCCTGGCAGAAGTCTCCAGCCCTCTGGGCTGCACCCTTGTTGGGTAAGGGGGTTAGGCGAGATCATCTAGATCGCCTTCTGGCACCAAGATCAAATCACAATACCACACATTTGACTAAGTGGTAACAGTTATGAGGACTGCTGCTTATCACCCGTGGTGACGCAGGTGGGACAGGTGATGCTATCTACTTCATAAAATGAGCAAACTTAGGTCCAGGATGGCTAAGCCATGCAGCTAACTAGTGATTAAGAAACTAATACCAGACCTTCTGATTATTTTTCAGTAAGGTATTGTATCAAATTACCAACTAGCTGTCGTCATTTTGTCTACGATCCGCCTACAAGACAAATGACAGAACAAAATCTACGAGTGACTGACTGGGGAGAATGTGCTATCCCTGAATTCAGCCCAGTTTCTTATATTTTCAATTTCTGAGAACAGAAATTGATTTAAAAACCTCAAAATGACAGATACTAACGGTCATGCATGGAAACAGTCTTTTTAGCATCAGGACGATGAGGATGAAACTACATCTTTCTAAGCACGTAGCACACTAGGCTCTGCACCTCGTGGTTTCCAGGCCCTTCTCAAGTCTTAATCTGAGTTCTGTGAAATTCCAGAACTTCAAATGCCCTGGTGCCCAACCAAGTTCTCCATCCAGTGCCTTGGGACGCTTCCCCAGCTTCCCAACAAATCCATGTGTGTACCAGAGACCGCTTAAAGGACCAGAAGCTAAGACGTACCACCACCTGTCAGCAGGAGCACTTCTCTTAGCGGTCGTAACAAACTCCCAGAGCTGGTGGCCACTTTTCCTGACTTACGCAATGAACCACCCCAGAATCTCCTCCATGAGGGGATAAGGGGCATGGGGGTGGGGTTCTCCTGTCCCAAGGTACCACCTCACTTAAGACAGGGACAAAATTCCCTAACTCTGGCCCTCCACAAGCTCAGCTGTCCAGTCAGCGGAAGGAGTATCTCGTTTTCATTCATCTCCAACCACCTTTCCCACCTTCTCAGGTGGGCTGGTTGAGTATGGGAGGGAAGGTCAGGGAAAGCAGACTGGACAGATCCAACTCAGGACAAGTCCAGGTACAGAAGCCGTCGCTCCTGATGGTTTATCTGGGACCAAAAGCCTGGGACCCCAGGGTCTCATTGACTAGCAGGAAGGAGCCCTTTCTACACAGCTCTTCGCGTCTTTCCAGACAGTGCTGCAGAAGGCAAGTTGGCTTCGTCTAACAAATCTGGCTGCACTTATTTATAGCTAGGAGAGGTCCTGCAGAGGCATGTGTTGGCAGATGCACTGACCAATGGCTTCTGCTACTATCACCAAGTGACAGGACTTTTGTTCAGAAAGTGTCAAAAAGGCAGGCAACAGCCAATGTACCCACTACTCCCCCCGGAAAAAGGCCACACTTGGCCACCTTTGTGCCCTCTGGCCAGACACAGCTCAGAGCACACGGTGAGTTGATGGTAGCAGCGCCTCTTGTCTCTCAACAAGTCGGATTCTCTGGTCTTAGCTGCAGCCTGGGCAAGTGACATTCTCTGTGCTTCACGGACAGTGAACAAAGTGTGGACAAAAATAGGGACCCAGAGATCCTTTGCCATAGAATGGCTCGTTTCTCCCAGTAATGGTCTCTACAGTTGTTCCCTTTTAATCTGAAGTCACGTGCGGCCCCTGATTAGGTTTCCTCTGGCCTCGCTCCGGCCACGCCTGCAGCATACCTCTCCACTGTTCCAAGCAAGGGCCCCAGTCTGGGCTGGCGGGGCACTGCGCTGGCAGTCCCAGCTAAGACTTCAACCTTCTGCAGTTCCTTTTCCTTCTCCGGAGTCCCATTTTCTTCAGATGGGATGAAGGAAAAGGGTTTTGACAAGGGTAAAGCTCTGTGCACAGGTGAGGCCATAATCCCCACCAGCCCAGTCGATTTCCCCCGCAGCGTTTCCCCAGACTGCCTGGACACCCCTTCTCCACAGCCCAGGGCTTCGTCCAGAGAGTAAAGGACTCCTCCACCCCAGGAGCTTTAAAGCCACAGATCCGGGAGCTGGCCTGGCACATGCACGGCTCGTGGCGCCAACACGAGCCCCTGCTCAAGTAAAATGAACAGAATTGTTCCCACTGCCTCCCACTTGCCCAGAAAGACCCCTTATCAGTATGAAAGCAAAGAGACTAAGTCCAGGGTAAACGTAGGGGAGGGGCGGCAGCTCCAGAATCTAAAATTTCTGCAGGAATTGTGTTTCAATTGTTCTGCCTTTTCGGCAGGCCTGTGAGGGGCATGAACCCATGCTCAGTGACCAGACAAGGGTCCCACTAAAGCAGGACCATATACACAATGGAGTGACAGGGACTTTCTCCAAATCCTATTTTACTGTCTCCTTGGGTTCCAACCCCACCGCCACCACTGATTAGCCCAAGGTCACCCAGTTAGCAAGCGGTGGAAGCAAGATTGAAACTCCGGTCACCTGATGCCAAGATCTTCATTCTCAACTCCTGTATCCCGTGTCTCCCCCTCCCCCATGGGGGAGACTCCGAGGGTCCCCTAGGATCCCGCGAATTTGTGGATATAAGCGTCTACTCACCGTCAGCCGGCTGCTGGAAGTTGACGTAGGCATAACCCAGGGAGCGGCGGGTGATCATATCGCGGCAGACCCGGATGGACAGCACAGGCCCCGCAGGACTGAACTTTTCATACAGCATGGCCTCGGTGACGTCCGAGTGCAGGTCACCCACGTAGAGGGAGGCCATGGGGTAGCTGCTGGCCGCAGCGTTCATCTCCCCAGCCCCCACCACCCCGAGCCCCGCCAGGAGAACTTCTTATAGGGACCACACAGGACAAAAGGGGCTCTTCTCGGAGCCGTGGCCCGCGCCGCGGCTCACAGGTGGCAGAGTGAAGCTAAGAGACGCCGGAGCAGGCTCGGAGACACGGAGGACCGGGAGGAGGAGTTCAGGGACAGCTCGTTCGAGACTGCAAAACCGCAGACAAAAGGCTCTCAAAAACAATATGGCCCTCTCTGGGAGTTTGTAATTTGCAGCTGTCCTGGTCTGAAGCTCCAAATTTCGAAGGAGAAAAAAAAAAAATAACGTATTAAAACAGGGACTCCCCTCCAAATTATAAAAATTCTCCAAGAGGCAACCAAATGGTGCCCACGGCGGCCTCCGGGACACGGGTTTCTCTATAAATATAGGCCTCGGGCTCCCGGCGGTTTAAGATTACAGCAGCCAGGGCAAGAGGGAAACCAAATCTTGGTCGGCGCCGACTCGGCAAGCCCCGGGGGCCGGGCGCGCAGCCTCCTCCCACGCCGGGCCGGCGAAGGGCAGCGCGGACACGTGGTGCGCCCGGGGCCGGCGCGCGGGGGGCGAGGGCGGCGGGCGCGGGGCTGCCACGCGGCGCGGGGGCGGACGGAGCGGAGGCGCGTGGACGCGGGCGGGCGGCTCACCACCGGACCGACGGACGCCAAGGTGCGGCGGCGGGCGCGGGCAGGCCGGAAGCGTGCAGAAGTGACTTCCCCGCGGGCTCTCCGAGGAGGATGCGCTTTTTTCTTTCTCTCTCTCTCTCGGTTTTTGTTTTTTTTTTTTAGGTTTTAAAGCATTTTCGGATTTTTTTTATCTTTTCCTGTTTTTCCTTCAGGCTGCTAGGGCCCGAAAGCGACGGAGGCTGCGGCGACCCGGGGCGGAGAGAGGCGGCCGGGGGAGCCACCGCTCCATTTATACTCGCCCGCCCCGGGCGCTGCTGGTCGAAGGGCGCCTCGCGACCTGGGCGCAGTCGTGCCCGCCCACTCGGCCCGGGGGCCCGAGGCGGGGCGGCCACGCGAGAGCGACCCGGCGCGGCCGCGCGGCGCCACAGCGACCCCTGGCGCGCGGAGGACCGCTCCGCTGGGGTCTCCTCCGGCCCCAAGGGCTGCTTGCCAGCCGCGTAGACAGCACACCGCCCGGCCCTCCGGGAACAGAGCACCTGTAACCCACCCACAGGCGCAACGTTTATAATCCATGTGTTGCTTATTGTAAAATAAAGATGACACAAAATAAGTCACAATGATATAATAAGTGGTTCAGCATGTAAATGTTTTGGCGCAAATACGGACGACATTCAAGTTTTCAGAGTACTAGGACGTAGAGGTAGGTAGTTACCCAGAACCCGACAGCCACATCTGCAGGAGTATCCACGGGTGATGGGATTAAATGTTGGTAGAGCTTCAAAAGAACAAAATACAATCATCCCCCTTTTTACATGGCGGTGGCCTTCCTGGAAATTTAGTTGATATTTAAGGGAGCAAAAATATTTCTGTGTAGGGGTAGGAGAAGGGAATTAAGAGGTCATGAAATAAATCACGGAGATGAAAAGTACAGCGTAGGAAATACAATCAAGAATATTGTAATAACTTTGTGCGGTGACAAAGGAGAGCTACACTTACTGTGGTGAGCATTTCCTAATATATATAAGTGTTGACCCACTATGTTGTATACCTGAAACTAATATGTCAACTACGTTTCAGTAAAAATTTTAAAAATAAAAAATAAATTAAAAATACTTTGTTTCTACATAAAAAGGAGTGGGCGCCTGGGTGGCTCAGTTGGTTAAGCAACTGCCTTCAGTTCAGGTCATGATCCTGGAGTCCCGGGATGGAGTCCCGCATCGGGCTCCCTGCTTAGCGAGGAGCCTGCTTCTCCCTCTGACCCTCCCCCCTCTCATGTACTCTCTCTCATTCTCGCTCTCTCAAATAAATAAATAAATCTTTAAAAAAAAAAAAAAAAAAAAAAAAAGGAGTCAGTGTAGGCTTCAACAGTTAAAAACTTTTTTCATCTACACGGGGATCTAACAGGTCATTTGGAAGTCATGCGGTATATGGGACAAGTCTACATTATGTGGAACTGTCTCGATGTGTTGCAAGATATACAGCATCCCTTCTTCCATAAATGCCAGGAACCACCCTCCTTATCGTTGTGACAAAGGAATCCAGAAATTACCAGAACGCACACAGACAGTCCCATTGAAAACCACTGATGTGAGTAAAGGAATGAAAAAATACACATATTTATAGATTCATTCATTCAAAAAAATGGTTAATTGGGGCTCATTCTATGCCAATGCCAGATATAGGTGCTAGGGGATACCATGGTAGACAAGGCAGAGAAAGTCCCTCTCTGCCTCACTCAGTTTATAGTCTAGTTGGTGCATTAAATCAAGAAACACCTTTATGGAATACTCCTTCTGCAGATAGAGTTCCTCCTCAGGGAAGCCTTCCCAGACTACCCTGTGGTCTAAAGTAGCCTGCCAACACTGTTCATCGTTAACACACCATCCTGTTTTCTTGTTTTCAAGGCTCTTATTTACCTAAAATTACATTGCTCAAATATGTGTTTACCTGCTAAGTATGTCTTTTTCTCACTGTATATAAGCTTCATGAAAGCAGGGACCTAGAACAGTGCCTAACATGGCACATTCTAAATGTTCAGCATTTGTTAAATCAACAAATGAATACTAGGCACCCATGAGCAAAGCCCACAATCCCTGTCCTCATGCAGCTGACTGCCTAGTTGGGGGGGGGGGGGGCGGCGGTGCTTGCTACCTATGTGACCTAGAGCAAGCAAGTTCTTCCCATCTGACTCTCAGATTTCCAATCTGTAAGTAAACTAATAAAGGTACTCATTTATTGTGAGAACAAGCTAATACACATGAGTCGTTTGTGTAAATGTTAATTGCTATTATTCTCAAGCTACCCTTGTACTGAGAAGAGAGGGGAGTTACCCACAGGAAGACAAGGGGAACAGCACGTGTTAAGGCGCTGAGGGGGGAGTGGGCCAGAGCTGAGCCTGCAGGACTGCAGCACAGTGGGAGGTGGAAAAGACCTCCTGCTCTTGGAGACTTGAAACATTTTGGACTTTATCCTGAGATCAAAGGGTAGAACTGAAGGATTTTAACAGAGAAGTGCCTTGGCTCAAACTACATTTTTTTTTTTTTAAAGATTTTATTTATTTATTTGAGACAGAGAGAATGAGAGAGACAGAGAGCACATGAGAGGGGGGAGGGCCAGAGGGAGGAGCAGACTCCCTGCTCAGCAGGGAGCCTGATGTGGGACTCGATCCCGGGACTCCAGGATCATGACCTGAGCCGAAGGCAGTCGCTTAACCAACTGAGCCACCCAGGCGCCCCTCAAACTACATTTTTAAAAACACCTCTCTGGCCACAGAAAGGAAAAGGATTAGAAGGGTGGGGAGGGGGAGACCTGGAAGTGATGGCCACTGGGGTGGTGGTTGTGGAGATGGAGGAAGTGGCTTGACTTTTTTAAAAAAATTAATATGATTTGTGATTAATTGGACATGAGAAGTGAAAGGATAGTCATCACAGATGGTTCCCAAGGTTCTGGAAAAATCAAGAAAAATTAGGATTCCCCACATCTAAATACAGGGGCATCACTTAATTCATCTTAGAGGGGAGAGATATGTAAAGTCACCCAAAAAGCCACCTGGACCCCAGACCAGCAAAATTCAAACAGGACTTGATCCGAGTTAAAAGCAGGCGGGGATGGGGCCCCTGGGTGGCTCAGTCGGTTAAGTGGCTGCCTTCGGCTCAGGTCATGATCCCAGGGTCCTGGGATCAAGCCCCGCATCGGGCTTCCTGCTCAGCGGGAAGCCTGCTTCTCCCTCTCCCACTCCCCCTACTTGTGTTCCCTCTCTCGCTGTCTCTCTCTGTCAAATAAATAAAATCTTAAAAAAAAAAAAAAAAAAAAGCAGGTGGGGAAGAGGCTGGACAAATGACCAGGCCATTCAACCAACTGAATGGGAGAAGATATTGCAAATGACATAGCCGATAAGGGGTTAGTATCCAAACTCAACTTCAAACTGAGTAGACAACTCAACATCAAAAAAAAAAAAAAAAAAAAAAAGAACCCCAAATGATCTGATTAAAAATGGACAGAAGACCTACAGAGACATTTTTTTAAAAAAGACATACAGAGGGCCAACAGATACATGAAAAGATGTTCAACATCACTCATTATCAGGGAAATGCAAATTAAAACTGCAGTGAGATATCACCTCACACCTGTCAGAATGGCTAGAATCAAAAAGACAAGAAATAACAAGGGTTGGTGAGGGTGTGGAGAAAAAGGAATCTCCCTGCACCGCTGGTGGGAATGTAAATTGGTGCAGCCGCTGTGGAAAACAGTATTATTGAGTTTCCTCAAAAAATTAAAAATAGGAAAACCAGGCACTTGGGTGGCTCAGTCAGTTAAGCGTTTGCCTTTGGCTCAGGTCATGACCTTGGGGGTCCTGGGGTCGAGCCCCTGTCATGTCGGGCTCCCTGCTCACCAGGGAGTCTGCTTCTCCCTTGCTCCCTGTCTCTCCCCACTGCTAGTGTGTGCTCTCTCTCTCTCTCAAATAAATAAATAAAATCTTAAAAAAAAAAAAAAGAAAACCAAATGATCCAGTAATTCCTCTACTGGCTATTTACCCAAAGAAAATGAAAACACTAATTCAAAAAGGCATACGCACCCCTATGTTTATCATAGCATTATTTACCATGGCCAAGATATGGAAGCAACCCAGGTGTCCCTTGATAGATGAATGGATAAAGAAGATGTGGCATATATGTACACAGTGGAATATTACTCAGCCATAAAAAAAGAGAATGAGATCTTGGGGCACCTGGGTGGTTCAGTCGTTAAGTATCTGCCTTCGGCTCAGGTCATAATCCCAGGGCCCTGCATCGGGCTCCCTACTCAGCGGGAAGCCTGCTTCTCCCTCTCCCACTCCCCCTGCTTATGTTTCCTCTCTCTGTCAAATAAATAAACCAAATCTTAAAAAAAAAAAAAAAGAAGAATGAGATCTTACCATTTGGGACAACATGGATGGGCCAAGAGGGTACTATGCTAAGTGAAATTAAGTCAGAGAAAGACAAATATCACATGATTTCACTTATATGTGGAACCTAAAAAACAAAACAAACAAACAAAAAGCAGAAACAGACCCATATATACAGAGAACAAACTGATGCTTGCCAGAGGGTAGGGGTCAAAATGGGTGAAAGGGAGTGGAAGGTAAGGGCTTCCAGCTATGGAATGAATGAGTCACAGGGATGAGAGCACAGCATAGGGAATACAGTCCGTGGTGTTGTAATAGCGTTGTATGGGGACAGATAGCCCAGGATGGGGAGCTATGCTTGGGATGAGCACAGCACAATGTACAGACTTGTCCAATCACTATGTTGTACACCTGAATCTCATGTAACATTGTGTGTCAACTATACTTCAATTCAAATACAAAACAAAACAAACAAAACTTTCTAGGCTAGTGATCGAAGAAGGAGGTCTGAGCATATCAGTTCAAATCTGCCTTTGCTGGAGTGGGAAGGGGTGCAATTTTTTTTTTCCCACTGGGGTAGATGCTACTCTTAGTAGGTCTGTACTTGATAGTCTGACCTGTCAAGAGCAAGAAAGTGTCCAGGGTCGGGAAGAGGAAGAAGAAAAAACTTCAAAGTGAGGAGATGGACATGGACGTAGGTCTCCGCAGCTGAGGATTTTTAGTATAGCAGAAATATAAAAGCTATGCCTTCCTGATCCATTCATTTGTCACTCAACAAACTCTATGAGGCATTCCTAAGAGCCAGGATCACTCTGCTCTGGGTAATGCTGGGGACAGAACTATGAGCTAAACATTCACAAACCAACCTGTCCTTCTTGGGAAGAGACTTAAGGAACAAATAAGTGTACTGTGGTGTGTGTAGGGCGGGGGGTAAAACTTGTGAAAAGTGCTT